GGCGGCCGGTCGGCGGTCCGTCAGCCGCGGTCAGGCGCCGTGTTATGGGTGGCTACTGAAGGGAGGGGTGGGAGCGCCGCGCAGAGGCCGAGCCGGTACGGCTTTTTGCCGCCGCTGCCGATCCGCGGTGATGGCGTCACTGGGACCGGCCGACCGGGCGGCCGGCACGGTTGGCGGCACGGTCTGAGGGCGGCAACACGTACGAGGGGGTACCCAAACGGGAATTGTTTCATATCTGTTTATTCACTGATCCCTACACATCGTCACTCATGTCATTCTTAAAGTACTTTCCCTGCGAGACAATGCACCTATGCAGACGCGTTTTCCAGCTCTCAAAGCAGCTCTGGAACTCTTGCAAGGTGATGCCTTACAGAGCCATCGTCGTTTTTGCTTTTACCTTATCAAAGTCGTCGAAATGGTTTCCCTTGAGGTCTTTTTCATTCTGGGGACCAGGAAAAGGTCACAGGGTGCCAAATCCGGTGAATAGGGAGGGTGGGTCCGTGGGGTCATGCATTTTTTGTCCAAAATTGTCTGACACTCAAGGCGGTGTGCGCTGGCACACTGTCGCGATGAAATCACCACTCCCCGCTTCGCCACCTGTCGGGGAGTTTTCGTCTCACCCAGGGGCGTCGCCGACGGGGGGGTCGGGGGGGGTCGTGACCCCCCCACTCTTGAAAACTGGGGGTGTCGACCCCCCCCACTTTTTGCGATGCTGAGTATGCTTTTTTAGCTTTTATGTCAGTGAAGCAGGCGTCAGCAACACCAACAAATACATCAGATTCAAAATCGCTTCAAGAGCTCCCTAAAGCCAATTAGCCAATTACCTAAAGGTCAATTAGCTGTGGGCGGGGAACACCAGCACAACAATGTTTTTAAGTAGCCCCCATCCTAATATACCTTTTTATCCCTCAAAGGATTGGACGCGCCAAAACTGCCCCGAGCGTTCGTCTGATCGTTTAAAAAAAAAATGGTCGCAGTCGATTCGTCGGATCAGTACCTACCTAACTACAAAACTACAAACTAGCCTCAGCCCCATGGCTACCGTCACAACTAGCTGTACAGTGCACATGTAGGGGAAAGGGAGTCAGATGGAACCGTCTCGGGCTTTCGCAAAGAAGTCGCGCAAAAAGGAGCCGATTGCAACAAAACTTCCGGTGCGCTCGAGTTAATCACCTACTTAAAATAAATCGATATTCCTGATTCAAATAAAGATGACCTTAGTTCACTTTTTCATAACGTGCTTTTAATTGATAGGGTAGTTTTTGGAGCTGATTTTGAACTTAGCGCCCATCTGAACATTTAAGAAGTAGTTGTGTTGCTTATTCATATAACATGCCAGGAAGCAATCGGTGGTGGTCATCCACTATTAGGTACTGGTCGATCTGACCTGACCTGATCTACCCCAAATGCATGGAGTCATCATCTTCGTTCAAAACTAAGATAACATTCGTAATCAGAACCTCGAAAAACCATCACAACTTACATTCGTTAAGTTCTAGCAGGTCCCGAGTTTCTCTACTTATTGGCGATGACCTGAGTCCTGAGATGACCCGAAAACTTGTAAATGGGTACCATCGGCTTTCTCTCGTCACGGGCAGCATGCTCTTTTTTCCGCAAACCTGTAGATCGATCAGGGGTCGAAAGCATGCCTCAGCGTTACTTTAGTATACGTTGAATACGTTAGCGACTGGGAAACCACCAATAGAAGGGCTACAGTGAAGCAGAAAACTATTCGATAGCTCTTTTAACGCTCTTTCGCTAGCTTCGCGTTAGATTTCATCTCAGGTCTATGTTTGGCCCATAAGAAGGCAAACAGCTAACTGGACAGATTCTGCCGAAACATCTGCTTTGCAATAACTTTCGATTCCGTGAATTTGTATGGTATGTACGTATGTTGTCTTGTCACCACCGTCTTGATCTCTTTGAGACGCGTCACATGAGTTAAAATTTGACCATTCAGAATTAACGTTAAAACGACCTCAGGTCAACGTTATGTCCTGATCGAAAAAGGACCTCCTGCTGCATATGAATGGATCCGTGTTGTTGAGCTGAACAGTGAACACCTTCCAGGGGCTGTCATCGCTCTACCGCGTCTTCGTCAAAAGTTGTAGAAAAAAATGCTGGTGGCCATCGATGGACATTTCCACTAATGACCTTTCGAGTCATCACTCGCCATAAGTTGCACCCTGTCCCTGGCAATGAATGAGCTGATTTGTCATGGCTCCAAAGATATTTTGCGTTTCTGACGAACTTTTTCAAAGCAGGAGGCATTCGTGCTTTTTCTAATTTCTCATTATTTTCTAATGATGAGGTCACGTATTTGACCTGCCTTCAGATCATAGATGTAAATCCTCAGTTAGAATCATGAATTGCTGACACGTATAACCCCATACATTAGGTACCTATACACTATAGTATACAGTGTACCAAATTTCGAAGTTATGGGATAAAAGCTACAAGAATGGCGAGAGGGGAAACTCAGGAAAGTTTTTATAGAGGTATACCGTATAACTGAACTTGACATGGCGACCTGACCTTAAGTGACCAGTGATAATTTTTACGCAAGTGATGTAGGTAGGTATACCTACCTAATAGGTTATACCAAATTTGGCGGCGCTGCGCGCCGATTTGTTACACACGCACACACACACATACGCACGCACAAAACTGGGAAGTGTGGCAAAAAAAAGCACCCCTACCCATCGGGTGAAGACTAGAAACCTGACCCCCCCCCCCCACTCAAAAATCCGTGGCGACGCCCCTGGTCTCACCGTGTTTCACACACGCCGCAGAACGTCCATGTAAAACGTCTGATTGGCAGTTTGATCAGGGAGGAACAATTTCCTTTTGCACACTTCCCTTTGCATCGAAAAAACAAATCAGCATTGTCTTGACATTTGACTTCACTTGGCAAGCTTTTTTGGGGCGCTTTTGGGATAACATTAGACCACTTTTGAAGTGCGAAAATCATTCATAAACCCGCGTCTTGCTCACGGCAGCATATTTGTATGCTGCTTGAAGCATTGGAACCGTTTCAGTCGCGGACCTTCCCAGCAGGAAACAAAATTTCACAGATGCGTGTTGTTGCTCACCGCTATGCATAAAAAACGACGGATCGAGCGGGAGTGCTTCAATAAATACGTGCGCCACGCGGCCGCGCCTCTTTATTTCGTCACTTCACGGTGCAGACTAAATCCCAGGGACCAGACTGGTTTGCCCCTAGCAGGGCAATGCCGAGCTACAACTGGCTTGGCCTACAGAGAACGATTCCCGTTACTTTTGGGTACCCCCTCGTAGACCTTATCCATGACGTTGGCACGGTTCCGAGCGAAGTAGGGTGGGGGCCGGGACGGCGACAGGTTGATTACCTTGTAATTAGTCTTATCCATGACGGCGTCACGGTCCTGAGTGGAGCGGAGGCCGGACGGCGGCGGGTCGATCTCGGGGAGATAAGAACGATTATTGTGACTTGCAAACAAGGCAATCATCGATTAACTTAGCAGACTTGTAATACATTGGACATTGGAGGAGTAACAACAACACGCGTGATCGAAAATATCTTCTTAGACTTTTCCAGTGACTTTTCCAGAGGAGTGAATGCTGTTCGGCAACGTTTGCTCCCCTGGAAATTCACTCATTATCTGTCTCGGCTTCAATTTCGGTTCGTGTCATATGACGATTCCGGTGCTTTGTTGTTCGACATTCGCAATCGGCAGAAGTGGTGTAGCCGTTGTTAGTGTCCCTCAAAGCAGCCCATTTCAGCGCATAATGGGGCGGGATTCAGCAGTTAGCCCAGAATCGGACACTCTAAGGTCTTGTAATTTATAATCATTTGAACATTGCACTTCGGTATAGGCAGTTTTTCCGGAGCCGCTCGGTGACACCCATAGTGACTTTCTTGAACCACATATGCCTAGCAACAAAGGTCACAGTATCGAAATGGGCACCTTCCAGACTTGACAGATTTGAGTCACCCAGAGGAAAGCTACCGTGGTAAAATTGGCCGAACGATTCGTGCGGTTACGTCTTGCTTTTCCAACTGCAGCTGTAAATATCTGAGTATCCAGCGAATGGTCTTGGCACGACATCAAACTGCCCACGCGGAGAGCTTTGAAATGCGAATCGATCGGGGTGTCCCGAATGCTGTCTTGGAGAACATGTCTTAGGGCGGGTAATGTTTGCTCGTTCGCCGTCTGCGCTATCTTTGGACGCAGTCCTCTGCCCCCGGTGGTCCTACCCTGCTCTGAACTCCTCCGAGTTTGGCCCCGCTCGCTGACTGTTCGGGACCTGACAGTGACCTCTGTGCTCTTACTAGAGGGCCTGACCCAACCCTGACCGCTGTTTTTCTCCCCTGTGAATCTCTAGCGGTGACCTGACGCTGCCCTATGTGTGTTTGTGTGTTTTGTTGGGTTAGGCTCTTTCGGTCTAACTACGCAATTTTTCCTTCAGTATGAAAGAGTTGGAGATCAATTTGAAACGATGTACTTCAAGTAAAACAAATAACTATTTTTTTTTCAAATTGTAGCGCATCTTTTTCAAAATGAACTCCAAGTGTCTTCAAACTGAAGGAAAAGCGGTCTGTCGACCATTTCAGAGCCGGGAGGATGCTAGGATTTAGGGGGAGACGTTTGTCTGAGCGGACACCCTGGTGACCCGTCGCCGCTGAGCCCATCACGTAGACAGGCCACCCAGCCTCCTGACGGTTCCCGTGCCTGGCGGCTATGGACCTGCTCCTGGGGTGGAGCTACCCATGTGGGATAAAGGTGACCGTCCAGCATGGAACAGGGCGTTTGAGGTGTGCAGAAAAAGAATTTGAGTATCCTAAGGGTGGAAACGGCGGAGCCCTGTGTGCTCTGTGCTCCCTGTGTGCCCTCTCTCCTGTGTGCCCTCTCTCCTGTGTGCCCTCTCCTGTGTGCCCTCTCCTGTATGCCCTCTCTCCTGTGTGCCCTGTGTGCTCCCCTGTGTGACCTGACCCCGCGCTGTGCCCCTCCCGCCGCCAGTCTGGCCAAGGTGATCCAGATGCACCTGGAGCCGTTCGTGACCAAGTTCGAGTCGATCAGCACGGCGGCCACCAAGGAGTACAGCCTGGACCGGGCGCTGACGAAGATGATCGCCGAGTGGCAGGAGATCGAGTTCAGCACCAGCACTTACCGGTCAGTGTCCGGCCCGCCGTGTGGAAGGATATCCCCACCGTTCAGTTCTCGGTCCGGGGGAGCCGGAGTCGCCGGCCGTGCCTGTCCGCCGGTCAGTATTCATCGATACTCGGACTTTGTCGGTACTCGGGCTTAGTCGGTACTCGGTCCGTGTCGGTACTCGGTCCGTGTCGGTACTCGGTCTGTGTCGGTCTGTGTCGGTACTCGGTCGGTACTCGGTCGGTGTCGGTCCGTGTGTCGGTACTTGGTCAGTGTCGGTACTCGGTCTGTGTCGGTACTCGGTCTGTGTCGGTACTCGGTCGGTACTCGGTCCGTGTCGGTACTCGGTGTCGGTCCGTGTGTCAGTACTCGGTCTGTGTCGGTCCGTGTGTCGGTACTCGGTCTGTGTCGGTCTGTGTCGGTCCGTGTGTCGGTACTCGGTCTGTGTCGGTACTCGGTGTCGGTCCGTGTGTCAGTACTCGGTCGGTACTCGGTCGGTGTCGGTCCGTGTCGGTACTCGGTCTGTGTCGGTACTCGGTCGGTACTCGGTCGGTGTCGGTACTCGGTCGGTACTCGGTCGGTGTCGGTCCGTGTGTCGGTACTCGGTCTGTGTCGGTACTCGGTGTCGGTCCGTGTGTCAGTACTCGGTCCGTGTCGGTGCTGGGTCGGTGTTGATACTCGGTCTGTGTCGGTCGGTGTCTGTACTCGATCTGTGTCGGTACTCGGTCGGTGTCGGTACTCGGTTGGTGTCAGTACTCGGTCCGTGTCGGTACTCGGTCCGTGTCGGTACTGGGTCGGTGTCGGTACTCGGTCCGTGTCGGTCCGTGTGTCGGTCCGTGTGTCGGTCCGTGTGTCGGTACTTGGTCGGTGTCGGTACTCGATCGGTGTCGGTACTCGGTTGGTGTCGGTACTCGGTCGGTACTCGGTCTGTGTCGGTCCGTCGGTCCGTGTCGGTACTCGGTCTGTGTTGGTCTGTGTCGGTCCGTCGGTCTGTGTCGGTACTCGGTCCGTGTCGGTACTCGGTCCGTGTCGGTACTCGGTCCGTGTCGGTACTCGGTCCGTGTCGGTACTCGTTCTGTGTCGGTACTCGGTCGGTGTCGGTACTCGGTCCGTGTCGGTACTCGGTCCGTGTCGGTACTCGGTTGGTGTCGGTACTCGGTCTGTGTCGGTCCGCCGGTCTGTGTCGGTACTCTGTCGGTGTCGGTCCGTGTCGGTACTCGGTCCGTGTCGGTACTCGGTCTGTGTCGGTACTCGGTCGGTGTGGGTCCGTGTGTCGGTACTCGGTCGGTGTCGGTACACGGTCCGTGTCGGTCGGTACTCGGTCAGTGTCGGTACTCGGTCCGTGTCGGTACTCGGTCCGTGTCGGTACTCGGTCGGTACTCGGTGTGTGTCGGTACTCGGTCGGTGTCGGCACTCGGTCGGTACTCGATACGTGTGTCGGTACTCGGCCCGTGTCGGTACTCGGTCAGTGTCGGTACTCGGTCCGTGTGTCGGTACTCGGTCGGTGTTGGTACTCAGTCGGTGTCAGTCTGTGTCGGTACTCGGTCGGTGTCGGTCCGTCGGTCTGTGTCGGTACTCGGTCCGTGTCGGTACTGGGTCGGTGTCGGCCCGTGTCTGCCCGCCGACCGTCTGCGTCGGACGGGTGGCCTCGGCCGGTGGCGCCCAGTCCGCCCATCTGACGGGCCGCGTGTGTGCATGACGTCTCCTGAGCAAACAATCCATCGCCGCCGCCGCCGACGAGGACGAGGACGGCGGCGGCGGAGCGACTCTGTGCCGCACGCAGAATTTAGACGGCGCGTCCGACAATGGCTCCAGTCACGTCCGATGTCACCGGCAGGACGCTACAGCCGGGTGGTGACTTCCGTCAGACGCGGCCGATTTTATCATAGGGAGTCGATTTTACCGTAGGGAGTTGATAGCAAATTGAGGTCTATTGGGGCCGTCGCATCGTCGTAGTCACTACAAAGCGACCTTTGTAATAGCTGCGGAATGGGGGGGGGGGGGAGTTCATTGTGTGGACTCTGAACGGTAATCACCACGCAATTTAAGCATGTGGATCGTTCATGATTGCACAATGTACAATCATGAACGGCGTGTGGATGCTGTGCGGAACCCCCAGCTCCGCCCCTTCCGTTACCAGCGGCACTACTCTTGTCCAGCAGAGACACGGGTGTGGCGATCCTGTACATTTACTAGAGGTGGCAAAATGTGGACCCGAGGACCCGGTCCAAAGAACCAGTCTGGACCCATATGGGTCCAGACCGGTTCCTGGAAATTTTCTGACGGGTCCAACCGCCCAACCGGGTCCTACCATAAACCATACACCTTGCATACTACGCATGATTGCAAAATACCTATGAAGTGAATGCAAAATAAAACATTTGCTCATGTATGTTTCTTTGCACACTGCAGCTCATAAGTATTCCCAGGGGGAAAAACTTACATGATGCAACTAATGATACCTACAAATAGTTTGTATCAATTGAAAATTGGGAAACGGGTCCAACTGGTTCCGATTCAAACCTAGACCGGGTCCGACTGGTTCCAGATATGTTCAGACGGGTCTGGTTCGCTTCTGGTTCCCAAATTTTTCACATTCTGCCACCCCTAACATTTACCCCCTCCGGTGACGGTGGCACTGTATGATCTGTGCTCTGGTCCGGCAGAGACACGGGCGTGTCGATCCTGTGCGCCCTGGACGACATTCAGATCCTGCTCGACGACCACATCGTCAAAACGATGACCATGAAGGGCTCCGTGTTCATCAAACCGTTCGAGGGTAAGTCGTCCGGCGCTACTGCCTACTGTGTGTAGTCGCAGCCCGGGCTAAATCCGAGCCGGCCTGAGCGCGGCAACGGACTCAACTTTCAGTAATTGACTTATCAACTCTATATGAAGACTTGTGAGGCAAGGTTGATTGTTTGTCAAGCTCTGTGCTCTGTAAGCCTTATCAAGAACTTGACTAAAGACGTGCTTAGCCAGCCAAGTGGAAAACTCATTATGGGCTGGGAGACTACATATTACGGCTAGATAATGGAGGTTTCCACGCGCATTCGCGTTGCATCGATGTGCCTTTCATATGAATTGTGAGATCATACCGTCAGCTCGAGTGTAATTGTTTGCAACGTCTTACGAAAATATATGTTGAATGAAACTTGATTTGTCGCTAATGCTGTGAATGTCATGTTGTACCAGAGTTTCTAGCGTTGTCATTTAAATCACTGAACCAAAGCTCGCCATTGGCGCCCAGTCGTCGCTCACTGAGCGGCTGTGTGTGTGTCCGATGTGTACACGTATGCCGAGTGTCTGTGTGTGACGAGCGTCTGCTCCGCGCCTGTCTGAGCCAGGATACCGGGGACCGTCCGAGGGTGAGTTGGGCCGCGCCGCGCCGCGTCGACGGACCGCCGCGAGCGGCTGTTTATTGCCATTGGCCGCGATAGGCCATTCGAGCCGACACGGAGCCCGGGCCGTCCGTCCGTCCGTCCCACCGTGATGGGCGCGCCGCGGGACCGGACGGGCGGGTCACACTCCGTGGTGAGGGGGCGGGTCACTCGCCGACTGGACGGGGCGGGTCCGGCGGGACGGGGCGGGTCACACGCCGTGGGGACGGGTGGTGGGTTACAGCCGACCGGACGGGGCGGGTCACACTCCAGTGGGGACGAGGGGGAGGGCGGGTCATATTCCGAGAGGGTGGGGCGAGTCACGCGCAGGCGGGACGGGGGCGGGTCACACGCAGCACGCTCATGAGCTCAGAGCGGGGACTGGGTCACAGGGGAGGGGGACGCGCATGAGATGGGCCTCGCAGGGCAATAGTTCCGCCGCTGTTCGAGCAGTTTCCCTGCTCCATTAGTTATCGATACGTTCGTTCGGCGGACTGTGGGTCGTTTTAATTGTTGCACGGGTATACTCGGGTTACACGGGTGGGCTCTGTTAGAGTCCACTTGTTTTTGTTTTTACTGTTGTTATTTTTGTCGTTAGCAAACTCGAAATCGGTAGGTTACAACGAAACTTATTTTTATAAGTTGCAGGTCTTCTGGAGGCTAGGTGAGATCAACAGGCTGGTTAGTTTGAAATTTCTGATCCCTGTGAAGCAACCAAAGATTTTCCATAGTCGTACACGCGCCTTCTGCGATTCATCTAGATCCATGCCGTCTCCCGAATCTTTTTTTTCATTATGATCAACATCCTACAGGTTCGTAGGCTCATGTCATTGACCTGACCCCAAAGATGCCCCGCTGACACGTGCCGAGCGCCCGCCCCTGTGTGTGACCGGGTCAGAGGACCTCCCGGCTGGTGTGGGAGTGTGTGTAGTCGGGCCGGGTCGGCCGGCTCAGTGGCGCTCCCTGGGCCAGCACGCGCCGGGCGCCCCCGTGTGACCGTTGACCGAGTCAGTGGGGCTGCCATGTGGCGCCCCCCTGGCCCTGTGTGTGACCGTATTCGATGTCCGCCAGCCGAGATCGTCGAGTAAGAGGCCACCCTGCTGTCTGTGGTGAGTGGTGACCCTGGTCTCTGTGTGCCTCACTGCTGGCCGCCAGCCGAGATTGTCGAGTGGGAGGCCACTCCTGTCTGTGGCGCCCCCTGGTCTGTGTGTCTGACCGTATTCGATGTCCCCCAGCCGAGATTGTCGAGTGGGAGGCCACCCTGCTGCGTATCCAGGAGACGATCGACGAGTGGCTCAAGGTGCAGGCCCAGTGGCTCTACCTGGAGCCCATCTTCTCGTCCGAGGACATCGTACAACAAATGCCCGACGAGAGCAAACTGTTCAAGGTACGGATCTAATTGGCACGCGTCGCTGGTCACTTCGAGAGCACTGCTTTGATTCGTTACTGTTATGAAAAACCAGCTGATCTGGTCGTGGTGGTGGTCACGGCTGAAAGTGTGATGTGTAGCACGCTGGTATGTTTTTGACCCCAATACCGTCTCTGTGTGCGGCAGCAAGTGGACAAGCACTGGAAGAGCATGATGCACCAGGTGGAGAAGGACGCCCACGTGCTGGCCACCGCCGGCGTGGTCGGCTTCCTCGAGAAGCTGCAGGAGTGCAACGGCATGCTGGACCGCATCAACAAGGGTCTCAACGCCTACCTGGAGAAGAAGCGGCTCTTCTTCCCCAGGTTCTTCTTCCTCTCCAACGACGAGATGCTGGAGATCCTCTCCGAGACCAAGGACCCGCTCCGGGTGCAGCCCCACCTCAAAAAGTGCTTCGAAGGTACGCCCCGGCGATGACATAGTCTAATCGAGATAGTAGAGGAGTTTGATATACCTTAACGCTGAGTCCCCAAGGTGGCCTCTTGTAAGGCAATCTGAAGTCTAAAAAATCATCCTGTAGATGTAATGTTGGTCGGAGCTCTGCAACCAGCGTGGCTGACGCCTCGGCCGGTGCTCGGCAGGTATCGCCCGTCTGGAGTTTGACACGGCCCTGGACATCCACGCCATGTTCAGCTCGGAGGGCGAGAAGGTGGACCTGGTGAGCGTCATCTCCACCGCTGAGGCCAAGGGCAGCGTGGAAAAGTGGCTTCTGCAGGTGAGAGACCCCGCTTCCACCGCAGACGCTAAGGGCAGCGTGGAAAAGTGGCTTCTCCAGGTGAGAGACCCCGCCTCCACCGCTGAGGCCAGGGGCAGTGTGGAAAAGTAGCTACTGCCAGCCGGGAACGATATGGTATGTTGTTTTTATGTTTACTGTAATTTGTATTTCTCCACTGAGATGTGCCTGCGACAGATTGTGCCCTGTGTCTGTCAGGTCCAGGACGTGATGCTGGCCTCCGTTCGAGAGGTGGTGGCCGTCTCACACGAGGCGTACGCACAGAGCGCCCGCAAACACTGGGTCATCGAGTGGCCCGGACAGGTCAGATGGCAGGTCACAGAAGGCTGGGGGAGGGGACTGGTGCCGTACCATACCACTGGGTCATTGAGTGGCCCGTACAGGTCAGACGGCAGGTCACAGAAGGCTGGGGGAGGGGACTGGTGCAGTACCATACCACTGGGTCATCGAGTGGCCCGGACAGGTCAGACGGCTGGTCACAGAAGGGAGGGCTGGGACTGGTGCAGTACCATACCACTGGGTCATCGAGTGGCCCGTACAGGTCAGACGGCAGGTCACAGAAGGCTGGGGGAGGGGACTGGTGCCGTACCATACCACTGGGTCATCGAGTGGCCCGGACAGGTCAGATGGCAGGTCACAGAAGGCTGGGGGCCGAGGGGTCTGGTGCAGTAACATACCACTGGGTCATCGAGTGGCCCGGACAGGTCAGACGGCAGGTCACAGAAGGCTGGGGGAGGGGACTGGTGTACGTATGTACGTACCATACCACTGGGTCATCGAGTGGCCCGTACAGGTCAGACGGCAGGTCACAGGAGGCTGGGGATTTATGGTACTGATGCAGTACCATACCACTGGGTCATCGAGTGGCCCGGACAGGTTAGACGGCAGGTCACAGAAGGCTGGGGAGGGGACTGGTGCCGTACCATACCACTGGGTCATCGAGTGGCCCGTACAGGTCAGACGGCAGGTCACAGAAGGCTGGGGGAGGGGACTGGTGCAGTACCATACCACTGGGTCATCGAGTGGCCCGGACAGGTCAGACGGCTGGTCACAGAAGGGAGGGCTGGGACTGGTGCAGTACCATACCACTGGGTCATCGAGTGGCCCGGACAGGTCAGACGGCAGGTCACAGAAGGCTGGGGGCCGAGGGGTCTGGTGCAGTAACATACCACTGGGTCATTGAGTGGGTCATCGCTGGTTAGACGGCAGGTCACAGAAGGCTGGGGGAGGGGACTGGTGCAGTACCATACCACTGGGTCATCGAGTGGCCCGGACAGGTCAGACGGCAGGTCACAGAAGGCTGGGGAGGGGACTGATGCAGTACCATACCACTGGGTCATCGAGTGGCCCGGACAGGTCAGACGGCAAGTCACAGAAGGCTGGGGAGGGGACTGGTGCAGTACCATACCACTGGGTCATCGAGTGGCCCGGACAGGTCAGACGGCAGGTCACAGGAGGCTGGGGATTTATGGTACTGATGCAGTACCATACCACTGGGTCATCGAGTGGCCCGGGCAGGTCAGACGGCAGGTCACAGAAGGCTGGGGATTTATGGTACTGATGCAGTACCATACCACTGGGTCATCGAGTGGCCCGGGCAGGTCAGACGGCAGGTCACAGAACGCTGGGGGAGGGGACTGGTGTATGTACCATACCACTGGGTCATCGAGTGGCCCGGACAGGTCAGACGGCAGGTCACAGGAGGCTGGGGAGGGGACTGGTGTAGTACCATACCACTGAGTCATCCAGTGGGGCGGACAGGTCAGACGGCAGGTCACAGGAGGCTGGGGATTTATGGTACTGATGCAGTACCATACCACTGGGTCATCGAGTGGCCCGGGCAGGTCAGACGGCAGGTCACAGAAGGCTGGGGGAGGGGACTGGTGTATGTACCATACCACTGGGTCATCGAGTGGCCGGGACAGGTCAGACGGCAGGTCACAGGAGGCTGGGGAGGGGACTGGTGTAGTACCATACCACTGAGTCATCCAGTGGGGCGGACAAGTTAGACGGCAGGATGGGGGAGAGGTCATGTCCATTGAGCGATGAGCTAAATACATCCATGTTTTATTTGTCGCGTTACTGCTCAGCTGCTGTGAAGTACTCGCTGCGCCCCGTCTAACGGCCCGCGCTGTGTCGCCAGGTGATCCTCTGCGTGTCGCAGATCTACTGGACGGCCGAGGTGCACCGCGCCATACACGACGGCGTGCACGGCCTCAGGGAGTACCACGCCAAACTGCAGGTTCGTCCGCCGCCGCCGCCGCCGACTCTGGCCTGCAAAGCCAAAAAGCACTAATCACAGTCATGGCCAGAAAACCTGATCACATCGATTTCCTTGTTCACTGACGTCGTTTATTATTTTGATTTATCACGTTTTTATCACAATTGAGCTCTGATGAGCTGGGCCTGATTTCTCTCTATTCTCCCCGCCTGTATTCTCTCCAGCTAACCGTGCCGCTGCTAGTCCCGCGTCTGGTAAGCCGCTGCCGGACATGCCAGGCGTATTCTGCTTACCTAACCATGCGGTCTCCGTGCGGCGTCCACAGGAGCAGATGACGGACATTGTGGCCCTGGTGCGCGGTCAGCTGAGCAAACAGGCGCGCATCACGCTCGGCGCCCTGGTGGTGATCGACGTGCACGCCAAGGACGTGGTCCAGGAGCTGGCCGACAAGGGCGTCAGCTCCGAGAGCGACTTCGAGTGGCTGGCCCAGCTCAGGTGACGCACGGACGTTAGACTTCCAGGGGGAGATATAGTAAACAAACTGTACGGGGGCTGGATCAGGTACCACGGCATGGTGGATAAAATTCTACGAATGAATCCTGGCTGTGGGTCATATTCTTTTACATAATGTACATTACCTAGCGACTTGACCAGCGATGTCGCTTGCTCCCTGTCCGTCGGTCCCCATTGGTCTCCGCGGCCCCGGCTGACACGGGTGTGCGGCGCCGCCGGCCAGGTACTACTGGGAGGAGGAGAACTGCAAGGTGCGCCTGATCAACGCCACCGTGCCGTACGCCTGCGAGTACCTGGGCAACACGCCGCGGCTGGTGATCACGCCGCTGACGGACCGCTGCTACCGGACGCTGATCGGCGCCTACCACCTGCACCTGAACGGCGCGCCCGAGGGACCGGCCGGCACCGGCAAAACCGAGACCACCAAGGACCTGGCCAAGGCGCTGGCCGTCCAGTGCATCGTCTTCAACTGCTCCGACGGACTCGACTACATCGCCATGGGAAAGGTGCGCTCTTATACACGGCGGCGGGTGTGGGAAGGGGACTGCCCTGGAACAGGAATGGGGACGGAGCGGCGCGGTGGGTGTGGGGACGGGGACGGAGCGTCGGCAGGAGTGGAGAGACAAGGCCAGCCAGGAGCGACGTGGTTAGGATGGTGGGGTGCAAGATAATAACAATGAGGGATGGACCCGATGAGGGAAGGGTACACAGTCATCCTAACTTCTGGTGCAAATTGTGGTCCTGGTGCTGTCACTGATATAAATTTATATTGATGACATCAAAAATGTTTTTGTTTCGGCGTTCACCTATTCAAGTTATGAGTTTTGCCAGCCTCCATTGTCGTTTGCGCGTTCATATTATTCTAGTTTGTTTCCGAGACGTCTTCCCCACTGGAACCCCGCTCCGCTCACCCTGGCAGCCCGCCCGGGCCGGCCCTCCGCTCAGCGAGCCTCAGCTGACCAGTCCCTCCCCTCCCTCTGTGACCGGCAGTTCTTCAAGGGACTGGCGTCGTCGGGCGCGTGGGCGTGCTTCGACGAGTTCAACCGGATCGACCTGGAGGTGCTCTCGGTGGTGGCGCAGCAGATCCTCTCCATCGTCCGCGCCGTACAGGTGAGAACAGTGTCTCTCGAGCCCGACGGACGACTCTAATATGGGGCCAGCAGATCCTCTCCGTCTACCAAGCTGTCCAGGTGGGCCAGTGACCGGCGAGCCCGGCGAGCGGCTGAAGGAAGCGGGTTAATGGCAATAGTTTTTTTTCTTTTATGCGTTTACACTTCCCATATTGCGTCATTTGCTGTTGATTTTCAGTCAACTGCTGGTATGCCTGTACATACAATGCAAATTCTAAGTGTGTGTGTTGATAATTTTTTTTTTCTTCTCAATGTCGCCAGGCGGGCGTGGAGACGTTTGTGTTTGAGGGCACGGAGCTGCGCCTGAACCCGTCCTGCTACGTCTGCATCACCATGAACCCCGGTTACGCCGGACGCTCTGAGCTGCCCGACAACCTTAAGGTGCGTACTGTGTGCCCGCGCTGACTAATCCAGCTACTTTCGTTAGTTCATCGATCGACGCGCGAGTCGCCTGGAAGCTAGTGCGGTGCCAGCACGGTTATCTAGCTCAGTGCATTAGTATGATGTGTCTTTATTTCACGGATAGCTAAGAAATATTGTCATCCTTGCGTGCTCCCTAACGTCCCATCGTCCAAGCCGATTGTCGCCGTTCCCTGACGGTTGTTTTGATAGGCCCAGTGGTGCCGGCGTTCACCTGGTGTCCCCTGGCCCCTGATCCGTCCTCCGGTCCCTGGCGGAGCCCGCTTCTGTCCCCGGTCCCCGACGTTGTCCTACCCCCCCCCCCCCGCGTCTCCCGGTTCCCGACTGTGTCTCCCCGTGTCTCCCGGTCCCTGACGGTGTCTCCCGGTCCCTGACGGTGTCCCCCGGTCCCTGGCGGTGACCCCCGGTGTCCCGCAGGTGCTGTTCCGGACCGTGGCCATGATGGTGCCCGACTACACGCTGATCGGGGAGATCTCGCTCTACTCGTTCGGTTTCGTGGACGCGCGCAGCCTGTCGGTGAAGATTGTCTCCACGTACAAGCTGTGCTCGGAGCAGCTGTCCTCTCAGTTCCACTACGACTACGGTGAGCCGGCGCACGGCACGTCCTGGCAGGGGTCTGCAGCGCGTGGGGCGTGAAATTGTTCTCCGGACAGTAGTACGTGGATAATAGACACCCGCTCCGTGCATACTCGGCAGCTATGCGCGCCGTCCCATCCACCGGCCGTACATCTGACACCCGCTCCCTCCCTCCGTCCGCGGCAGGTATGCGCGCCGTGAAGGCCGTGCTGGCCGCCGCCGGCAACCTGAAGCTCAAGTACCAGCAGGAGCGCGAGGACATCCTGATCCTGCGCTCCATCATCGACGTCAACCTGCCCAAGTTCCTGGCGCACGACATCCCGCTGTTCCAGGGCATCGTCAGCGACCTGTTCCCGGGCGTGACGCTGCCCAAACCCGACTACGGCAAATACGTCCAGGCCATCGAGGAGGTGCGTGACGGGCCGGACGGGGGTGAGAGGGTGTACCCTGCGCCTGCCGCCGCTCCGGTTCCCTGTGGCACAGTGCTGGTTCCCAGTAACACCACGCTCATCCCACGTGACGCACTGCTCGTTCCCCGAAGCATGGTGCTAACTGCCCGTAACACAATGGTCATTCTTGTTCCACGGTGTGTTGTATATTCCCCGTGTCACGGCGCTCGTCTACTGCTGTCGGCAGGCGTGCGCGTCCCGGAACCTGCAGCCGGCCGACGTGTTTGTCGAGAAGGTGCTCCAGGTGTACGAGATGATGATCGTGCGCCACGGCTTCATGCTGGTCGGGGAGCCGTTCGGCGGCAAAACCTCCATACTGAAGGTGAGGCCATCGGCCGGGGCGGGGTGACGGGCCTGTTGAGGCCGCCGACCGGGGCGGGGTGACGGGCCAGTACAGGCCGGGTGGGCAATGTGACCGCGCTCCGTCAGTAGTGAGTACTGTGTAGATGCCATTTCGATGTCACGCTTACAATTGCGGCTAGGCGCTAGCCATTCGTGTTTTTTGTTACCATGCGTCCTCTTATCAGCTCAGGAAGCTGCCTTTGTTTGTTGTCCAGTGTCCAGTATCCATCGTTTACGGGCTCCGCTGTCTGGCCGTCCCGCCATTCATGGAGCACCCCCCCCCCCCCAACATACACACGTGATAATCTTCAGAGGTTCAGTCGCGCCACGAAACATTATATAGTCTATGTGCAAAACAAGAGAACGACGGAGCCTCATGCCACTTTGTCAGCTTCAGCCAAATTAACACCTAATTGTCTGGGTAGTAAGAACATCTGAGCGGCAGAACGCTAGGATTAATCCGGCCATTTTACCGATGCTGCTGAAAGTAAAGGTGCGAGTGTGAACAAGTACTGATGACTAGCATTGGCCGTTTTCACGACGGCCATCTGGTACACATTTGGTGAAGATTTGGTGCAGATTTGGTCAAATTAGGTTCATTCGCCACCCGTCATGAAAACGGCTATTATGTACATAGGGTGCTGCGCCGCCGCTGGCTGTCGGCCATGTACCGTCCGTGGCCCGTGGGCGGCGCTACCCGGCGGTCCTCTCGCACACGGCCGCTGTTAGCCGGGTGAGACCCGACGTCCTCAGGAGCCGGCCGGCGCCCCGGTCGGCCGGCAGGCTCAGGTACCAGCCGGCCGGGTCGCCCTCGATCAGCTCCTCCAAGTGGGCGATGTCGGGTCGGCTGCCGTCGGCGCTGTTCCTGAACTCTGTGGCCGGCGGGAACATGATGATGAACAGCTCCAGGCCGACCCACTGCTGGGCGGCCGGCCGGCTCGGGTGGTGCCAGCAGAACTCGAGCTGCCGCACGGTGTGCAGGCTGGCCAGCCGGCCGCCGGCTGCCAGCAGGCCGCACTGCCCGTCCGCCGCGGCAAAGTCGGCCGGCGCGCCGAGCGACACGTGCCGGTAGCAGTGGCCGTCCACCAGCGTCCACGGCGGCGGACACGGCCCGGCCGGCGCCGCCGGCGCCGCCGTGGTGGCCACAGGTGATTGTTCTCCAGTTGTTGACGGTGTATTCGTTGGTTGTTCTCCCTCAGTTGTTGATGTAGTTGAAGTCGTCGTTGGTTCTCCTTCCTCAGTTGTTGACGGCGTAGTCGTTGGTTGTTCTCCCTCAGTTGTTGATGTAGCTGCAGTCGTTGGTTGTTCTCCCTCAGTTGTTGATGTAGTTGAAGTCGTCGTTGGTTCTCCTTCCTCAGTTGTTGCCGATTTAGTCGTTGGTTGGTTCCGTTCCCGGGTTGTTGATATAGCGGCAGTAGTCGTCGGATGCTCTCCTTCCTTAGTTGTTGCGGCTGCAGTCGCTGTTGGCTGGGTCCGTTCCTCAGTTGCTGATGTAGCCGAGGTGGCTGTCTGCGCTCCCACGCCAGGTGATGAAGCGGCTGTAGCAGCTGTTGCCGATGCTCCGTCCTCAGCTGTCGGTACAGTTGAAGTCGCTCTCGGTTGTTCTCCTTCAGTCGTTATGGCGCCAGACGTTTTCCGCTGAGCTCCTATCCGAGTTGAGATAGCTGTAGTCGTTGTTGACCGAGTTTCTCCTTCAGCTACTAACGTGGCTGTGGTCGTTGTTGACCGAGTTCCTCCCTCGGCTACTGATGTAGCTGTAGTCGTTGTTGGCTGTGTTCCTCCCTCAGCTGCTGATGCAGCTGTGTACGTTGTTGGCTGAGTTCCGCCCTCGGCTGTGACCGCTACTGACGCTGGTATGTCGGTATTACCACCAGAGGCAGAGGCAGATGTAGCCGTCGACTGGTGTCCCTCCCCAATCTCAGTTCCGCTCGCTGGGTTCGGTTCGGTGGCACTCACACGTGGTGTGGTGATGACAGCGGTATTTTCCGCCGTGGCCGCTGTCGGAGGCGCCGGCCCGGCGGTTGTCGCGCTCCCCGGGCCGATGGGCTGCGTGTCTGTGTGGGGTGCGGGTGCGGGTGTGGCCATTCCCTGTGCTGTGGTATTAGTAGATGTCCCCGGGCCGGTGGACTGTGTGTCTTGTGAGGGTGCGGCCGTCCCCTGTGCTGTGGTAGATGTTTCCGGACTGGTCTGGGAGGTGGATGTGGCCGTCACCTGTGCCGCAGTAGACGTCCCCGCGGTGCCGGTGCTGCCGTCGGCCGCGCTGGTCACTGTGTATACGGGCACCAGGGCCGCCGTCGGGCTGTGGCCGCCGGTGCTCTCGGCCAGTCCGCAGTCGGCCGCCCAGACCAGGGCGCGGCAGCCGGCCGTGCGGGCGCAGCGGGACGCGCAGTCGACCAGGGAGACGGCCGGCGTGCGCCGCAGCCAGGCGGCCGGCGGCCGGTCCGGGCGCAGCTCGAACCGCTGGCCGGCCGACGCCAGGGCGGCGCCCAGCAGGAGGGAGACGGTGGCCGGCAGCATGGGGCTGGCACTGCTCGGTCAGCCACCGCTGGCCGGCCGGCGGGCTCTGACTGACTGACTGACGGATAGAGCTGGGTCTCCCGGCCGACCGCGGCCCACAAACACAGAGAGGGTGACAACTTTCAGCCGCCGAGTTTGAGTGTATGTTTGGCTCGCAGTCGTGTGTGGTGTCATTAAATGCCGAGTCGAGCTGCCGCGGCCGTCAGATGTGACAGGCGGCTGTCGCCAACTTTGGACTCGCTCTTGGGGTGCCGATGGGGTGTCAGTTGTGACCGGCGTCAGGGCTCTCCGTTACCAAATAGTACCGCCAAAGTTTCCCAAACACGTCCGACGCACATCGTCTGCCCTGAAGTGAATGATAATCAACCAGCATTATCAATTACAATAAACAGCTTAACGTGGTCTGAATGTCGTTATCTACACTGTTTTATTTTTTCTTTGTGGAAAGGAATTGTGATATTGTTTTTAAGTTGCCCGATGTCCAATTTTCTCAGTCTCACCCACATTAGGGCAGACTTTTGTGCTAGTGGTGGGAGCCTTTCATTATCCGGCCCCAAATATTTCAGATCATTCGGTGCGATGTAGTGTGCGGTTCCACTGCTGATTGTGCGATATAGTGTGCGGTTCCACTGCTGATTGTGCGATATAGTGTGCGGTTCCAGTGCTGATGGTGCGATATAGTGTGCGGTTCCACTGCTGATGGTGCGATATAGTGTGCCGATCCAGTGCTGATGGTGCGATATAGTGTGCGGTTCCACTGCTGATGGTGCTGATGGTGCTGAGTATGCGGATCCAATGCTGATGCGCTGGGACGCTGGCACGGTGCTGGGTCTGGCAGAGACGTTCGGCCTGATCGTGTCGTGTCTGTGGTCTAGGCCCTGACCCAGACGCTCGGTCTGATGTGTTGTTCTCTGGTCCAGGCTCTGGCCCAGACGCGCGGTCTGACTTTGATGTGTTGGCTCTGAGTGTTTGGTGCTGGGTGTGATTATGTTGCCCTCTGGCCCAGATTCTGGCTCAGACGCTGGGTCTGATTTTGCTGTGTCTCTGGTACAGGTCCTGGCTCAGACGCTGGGTCTGATGTGTTGTTCTCTGGTCCAGGTCCTGGCTCAGACGCTCGGTCTGATGTGTTGTTCTCTGGTCCAGGTCCTGGCTCAGACGCTGGGTCTGATTTTGCTGTGTCTCTGGTCCAGGTCCTGGCTCAGACGCTCGGTCTGATTTTGCTGTGTCTCTGGTCCAGGTCCTGGCTCAGACGCTCGGTCTGATTTTGCTGTGTCTCTGGTACAGGTCCTGGCTCAGACGCTCGGTCTGATTTTGCTGTGTCTCTGGTCCAGGTCCTGGCGCAGACGCTCGGTCTGATTTTGCTGTGTCTCTGGTACAGGTCCTGGCTCAGACGCTCGGTCTGATTTTGCTGTGTCTCTGGTCCAGGTCCTGGCTCAGACGCTCGGTCTGATGTGTTGTTCTCTGGTCCAGGTCCTGGCTCAGACGCTCGGTCTGATTTTGCTGTGTCTCTGGTCCAGGTCCTGGCTCAGACGCTCGGTCTGATTTTGCTGTGTCTCTGGTCCAGGTCCTGGCTCAGACGCTCGGTCTGATTTTGCTGTGTCTCTGGTCCAGGTCCTGGCTCAGACGCTCGGTCTGATGCGCGACAGTGGCGAGGAAGAGCTGGCGGTGCACATGGGCTGGATGAACCCCAAGGCGGTCACCATGGGTCAGCTGTACGGCCAGTTCGACCCCGTCTCGCACGAGTGGACCGACGGCGTGTGCGCCACCATGTTCAGGTCAGTCAGGGGTCCGGAGTTGGGAGGGAGCCGCGGGCCGCCAGCCGTGCTGAACATGGGATAGCTGGTTTGCTGAAAATGCAGCTCACATTACAGTAGTGCTACTTTTATTACTTTTTTATCACATGAGACCAATACTTATAGCTTTTATTGGTCGTCAAAATGCTTGACTCCATGACTCCTAGGCAGTAATTGGACGCGGTGTTACCGGTGTGTTACCTGGCGCCGCTGGTGGGTGGTGTTACCGGTGTTACCGGTGTGTCTCAGTGTGCTCTCTATGTCTGTCACAGGCAGATGGCCAGCAGCGAGCTGCCCGACCGGCAGTGGGTGGTGTTTGACGGGCCCGTGGACGCCGTCTGGATCGAGAACATGAACACCGTGCTCGACGACAACAAGAAGCTCTGCCTCATGTCCGGAGAGGTCATACAGATGTCGGCCACCATGTCACTCATCTTCGAGGTCATGGACCTGTCACAGGTGAGGTCAATGGGCCAGTCACACATGAACGGACCTGTCGCAGGGGAGGTCACTGGGTTTGTCGGTTCGGGGCGTTTCGGACGTATGTACTTTGGTGTCGTTAGATCAGGAGTCTGCCGACCCGGAGACGGTAACTGACTTGCACTCGGACCGGTGGTGTGCCGGTTCGGATGTCCTTTTGCCGACCGCCGAGCGTCCCTGCGGTCGAGTGCGTCTCTCTGACGGCGCGTCCCCCGGCTCGCCCAGGCGTCTCCAGCCACGGTGTCGCGGTGCGGCATGATTTACGTGGAGCCGCGCACGCTGGGCTGGCGGCCGCTGCTGGAGTCGTGGCTGGCGCAGCTGGACGCCGGCTGGACGGCCGAGGCGGCGCCGCTGCTGCGCGCCGCCATCCAGTGGCTCTTCGAGGCCAGCTACGAGTTCATGCGCCACCACTGCCGGGAGCTGATCCCCACCAGCGCCAGCAACCTGGCCCGGTGAGCGAGACCGGGACCGCGGGACAGGGACCGCGGGAGGGGTGACAGGGTGTGCCCAGCCTGGCCCGGTGAGCGAGACCGGGACTGCGCGAGTGACAGGTTACGCCCGGGTGGTACCCTTACACATCGTGTGTTAGAGCAGAGCCGGTATTTTGGCTCTGATCTGGTGGACTGAAACGCTGTCTGTGGCGAATTTACAAATACAGAGAAGAATCTGTGGATCCGCTCCTATTCCCTCTGTGTCAGCCGGTACCGTCTGACGCTGTGTGTGTGTGCCGTCAGCTGGGACCGTGGGTCTGACGCCGTGTCAGCTCGGACTGTGTCAGTTGCACCCGTCTGACGCTGTGTCAGCTCGGACTGTGTCAGTTGCACCCGTCTGACGCTGTGTCAGCTCGGACTGTGTCAGTTGCACCCGTCTGACGCTGTGTCAGCTCGGACTGTGTCAGTTGCACCCGTCTGACGCTGTGTCAGCTCGGACTGTGTCAGTTGCACCCGTCTGACGCCGTGTGTGTGCCGCCAACTGGGACTGACCGCCCGATGCAGGCTGTGCGTGTGCCGCCAGCAGGGACTGACCGTCTGACGCTGCGCGTGTGCCGCCAGCTCGCTGATGAACCTGGTGGAGATGACGGTGACGGACACGCTGGCCGACTGCAAGGAGAAGGACCGCGACAAGTACCTGCGCACCTGGCTCATCTCGGCGGCGGTGTTCGCCACCGTCTGGTCCGTCGGCGGCGTGCTCGACGAGCCCAGCCGGGCCAAGTTCGACGAGTTCTTCAAGAACCTGCACTCGGGTCAGTGGCGGCGGCCGACACCCCCGGCGGGCGACTCCGGGCCCGAGCACGGTATTGCACGGTATTGGCACGGTATTGTCATCCTATGGGTCAATGGTAAATTTAAATGTGCTATTATGTTCTCCCAGATGCAGACGTGTTCTGCCTACAGCGGTTGGTCTATTCCTCCGTTGATAAACTGACGGTGTGTATGTGTTCGCATCAGGACGTCAGGACGAGCAGTGCCCGCCGATCTGACCGTGTGTGTCTGTTTGTTTGCACCAGGTCAGGACGAGCAGTGCCCGGTGCCGGCCGAGGTCGGCAAGATGGACGTGCCGATGCCGCCCGAGGGCTGCATCTATGACTTCTACTTCGAGTACAAGGCGCGGGGCCAGTGGCGGCACTGGAACGACCTGGCCCGCCTTGCCGAGCAGGCGGGCACTGAGGACAAGAACATCCGGGCCATCATCGTGCCCACCATCGACACCGCCCGGTGAGCAGACACTGCCTGGCTGGACTGGGCCGTGGGGCGGGCAGTAGACGTGACTGATGTACGTATATGTGTGCCTGTCCCTATATGTATGCACACAGGTACACGACTATATAATAGTCCTGTACAATGTGTATCTCTCTTCCCCGTGCTCGCAGCTACACGTACCTGATGGACCTGTGTAATGTGTGACCATCCCCTCCTACTCACAGCTACACGTACCTGATGGACCTGTGTAGTATGATGCCATTCCCTCCCTACCCACAGGTACACGTACCTGATGGACTTGTGTATCCGCCACCGGCGCCCGCTGCTCATGGTGGGCCCCACGGGCACCGGCAAGAGCGCCTACGTGCAGGACAAGCTGATGCGCCACCTGGACCCCGAGCAGTTTGTGCCCTTCTTCGTGACGTTCTCGGCGCAGACGACGGCCAACCAGACGCAGGTGCGGCGAAACATGGCGTTGTCGTGCTCGACGGGGCGCTGAGGGGTGGTGGTGGTGGGTGGGTATGTAGTTGGCGGAGCGGTGCTGGCTGTATGGAAAGGGGGGGGGGGTGTCTGGACGTCTCGCTGCTCTGGGCTCTGTTCGTCAGCTGCTGTCCCAGTACGGTGATGTCTGTGCGTGCTCGCAGGACCTGATCATGTCCCGGCTGGACAAGAGGAAGCGGGGTCTGTTCGCGCCGCCGGTCGGCAAGCGCTGCGTCATCTTCGTGGACGACCTGAACATGCCGGTGCGGGAGATATACGGCGCGCAGCCGCCCATCGAGCTGCTGCGCCAGTTCCTCGACCACGGCAACTGGTGAGCGCCGGGGTCCGGGCCGGGCCGGTCCAGTCTGGTCCATAGGTCCCATTCATCAGTGCTAGTCCGTGGGTCCCTCTCATCACGGCAACTGGTGAGTGCCGGGGTCTGGTGCGGGCCGGGCCGGTCCATCTGGTTCACAGGTCCCACTCATCAATACTGGTCCGTGGGTCCCTCTCACCACGGCAGCATGGTGAGCGCCAGACGTTGGGTCCGGTCCGCGGGTCCCTCTCATCGCGGCCGATCCAGTGGCATTTTTCATTCCGACTGCTGTGCGGACACGTTTGTCCCCAGTTTCGCCCCGTCCCTGTTGTAGTCACGTTCTGTGTTGCGCCGTGCCAGGTACGACCGGAAGGACTGCTCCAAGATCGTGCTGCAGGACGTGCAGTTCCTGTGTGCCATGGGACCGCCGGGCGGCAGCCGACAGGAGATCACGCCCCGCTTCGTCAGACACTTCAACGTCGTCTCAATCAACGCCTTCTCGGACGCCACCATGAGCAAGATATTCACCACACTGCTCTCCGTCTACATGCGCGTGAGTCCGTCTCTGTGTGTTCGTACTTCACACACACACATTGTGGTTACTGGACATGTCCAAGTGCAGTGTGTGCTTGTATGCAGAATATAGTGGTATCGACGTAATTATACACGGTTAGGCTGACACCGGCGTGCCTCGTTTGTTTGTTTGTTTTGTTGGGTTAGGCCCTTTCGGTCCAGTAAGACCATTTCAGAGCCGGGAGGATGATAGGATATAGGGGGAGACATTGGTCTGGGCAGGCACCCTAGTGAGTCACCGGGGCTGAGCCCGTCCGAAGACAGGCCACCCAGCCCCAAGGCACTCACTGCACCCGGCTACGGGGTGCGCTCCCTCGGGAGCAGCGGTGCCGCTCCCAGGGAGCAGCCCGCATGAGATAAAGTTGTCTGTCCAGCCCGGAGGGGGGTTGCGGCGTGGAGGAGAAGGATTTCAGTTTCCTGAGGATAGAAGCATGGAACGGTGGCGTGCCTCGTCAGTCGGTGACTATTTATATGCGCAGCACCCATCGGCCCTGCGTGTACCATTGGTAATGCGACCTCTGACCGCCGGATACCCCTGTGTCCCCACCCTCGCCCCGTGCCATGTCGGTGCAGAACTGCGGTTTTTCGGCGGACATGCTGAGCCAGGCGTCGGCCATCGTGTCGGCCACGATCGAGGTGTATGCCGCCGCCATGGCCAACCTGCTGCCCACGCCGGCCAAGTCGCACTACACGTTCAACCTGCGAGACCTGGCGCGTGTCGTGCTCGGCTGCACGCTGGTCAGGAAAGAGTCGGTCGACAACAAGCGCGTCTTCACACGGTCAGTAAGGGGAGGGGGGGGGGGGGGCGGCGGGCTGGTGGGAAGAGTGGGACGGTGGCAGTGGACGGCGCCGCGTACCACGGTGGCAGTGGTACGCGGCGAGAATTGAGGGACAGGCTAACCTTCCTCGCTAATCGCGTCTAAGGTCTGTACAAGTGTGTGCATGCAATGTACGGATTATACTATCACTGACATGCTGCCCATATTTACACAGCGTTATGTCTGATCGATGTTGCTACGACACTTCTATCGTCTGTCCCCTATCGTCTTTCGCCTGTCCCCCATCCCCCTCTCACAGTCTGGGTGCACGAGGTGTACCGTCTGAACCCCCTCCCCCCCCCCAGTCTGTGGGTGCACGAGGTACGCCGTCTGACGCCCCCCCCCCCCCCAGTCTGTGGGTGCACGAGGCTCACCAGGTGACACCTTTACCCCCTCCGACAGTCTGTGGGTGCACGAGGTGTACCGGGTGTTCTACGACCGTCTGGTGGAGGACGCCGACCGCTCCTGGCTCTACCAGCTCGTCCGAGAGTGCGTCAAAAACCACTTCAAGGACAACTTTGACACCGTGTTCGAGCACCTGGCCTCGCAGCCCGGCAAGGTGCGTGTCTGCAGCTCTAAGCGCAGCCAGCGCCTGCCTGCTGCCAGTCCCACACAGTCTGGAGCCGTTGGTGGTCAGATCTGGGTAGTACGTAGTGTCTACTGTGACAAGGTCTGAAAATGCGCGCATGGTCAAATGACTAGCGCTGCGCCATTACAGGTGACTGAGAGGAGTCTGGACAGTCTGATGTTTGGCGACTACATGGACCCGGACCTGCTGCCCGAGGAGCGGCGCTATGAGGAGATCACCGACCTGGAGCAGATGCAGGACGTCTGCATGAGCGCCCTCCAGGAGTACAACATGACGCACAAGACCGGCATGGACCTGGTCCTCTTCAGGTGCGCAGCGCACGTCGCGGCGGGAGAGCGGACGTGGCTGGAGGTCGAGGGGTAGTGAGAGCCGGAGGGACTTTGAGAAGGATGTTACGGAGTTCGGCAGTGTATCAAGCAGTGGTCGGTGTGGTGACTGACCGCCCCCGCTCCCCGCAGGTACGTGCTGGAGCACCTGTGCCGCATCTGTCGCGTGCTCTCGACGCCCGGCGGTAACGCGCTGCTGGTGGGCGTCGGCGGCTCCGGCCGGCAGTCGCTGACGCGGCTGGCCGCCTCCATGGCGCAGTTCCAGCTCTTCCAGCCCGAGATCAGCAAACAGTACGGTACGCAGCGGGCCCCAGGGAACACTCCCGGATGGGGTGGGGTGGCTGGGATTGATGTGCAGTGGGCGGCGATGCATCGGGAGACCATGCACCTTTTTGTTGAAATTTTGTAAGACCTACAGCGTCTACACATTTATTACAATTGAAACGTCAGTTTGTATAAATATCGATTGCCCCTACGTTTTTAGCAGCTTATTGAAACATGCTAGATTATCTGTAAGGTGTACCAGTGTATCATCCAGCCAGTCTATGGAGAGGCCGCAGTGTGCTGGTATTCGTTTGGGTCGATGTTATCTCATAGGCTAGTGGATCCCCCTGCGGCTGGCTGCGGCCGTGTTCTGATGTGGCCTAGTACTCTGATGTGACCCTGTGTGCCTCAGGCCGCCAGGAGTGGCGGGACGACATCAAGGCGACGCTGCGCAGCGCCGGCGGCCTCGGCAAGCCGACCGTGTTCCTGCTGACCGACTCCCAGATCAAGGAGGAGTCGTTCCTGGAGGACATAGACTCGCTGCTCAACTCGGGGGAGGTACCCAACCTGTTCCCGCCCGACGAGAAACAGGAGGTCATGGAGGTACGTACGAGACACGCCGCGGTCCGGGGCAGGGCAGCGGTGAATTAATGCCATCATCACGTGGCGGTGGATGTCGGCTTAACACCCGGAAAGCAGATCAGCGACTCTCGTCACTACCGTGTAATATCCAAGTGGCGTTTTCCCGTTATCTGGGCAGACTATATGACCCTCCGTCGAGTAGCATGTGCCGTTGGCTGAGTTTAAGCCTGATGCCAGTCGTCTATGCTGCTCTGTTTTCAGCTGGTCCGTAACCTGGCCACGGGCGGCAAGAAGAACGCCGACATCAGCCCGCTGCAGCTGTTCGCCTTCTTCGTACAGCGGTGCCGCGACCTCTTCCACATTGTCATTGCCTTCAGCCCGATCGGCGACGCGTTCAGGAACCGGCTGCGCCAGTTTCCGTCCCTGGTCAACTGCTGTACCATCGACTGGTTCCAGGTACTGCTGCACCATCGACCGGTTCCAGGTGCTCTGTCCGTGCTCACGCTCCTTTCACGCACCTTCTTCGTCTCTGTCCGTGTTCTTACCCGTCAGTTGTATCCGTGCGTGTTCACACTCGTTTGTCCCGATGTGTCCGTCTCTGTCCTTGTTCACGCCCTTCTTTCCGCTCTGTCCCGTATTCACCCACGTCTGTCTCTGTGCGCCGTCAGCCGTGGCCGGAGGAGGCCCTGGAGCGAGTGGCCCAGAAGTTCCTCGAAACGGTCGACCTCGAGGATAACGTCAAGGTGGCCACCATCGACGTCTGCAAGTACTTCAACAAGTCGGCCATGTGAGTTTGTTGGAGCAGTATATCCGCTGGTCTCTCACTCACCAGAGCAAAGCACCTACTTCATTACATCAGCCGCCTGAGTGGAAGGCGCAGCTGCGATGAAGCAGAGTTCATTGTGAGCCTCCGGTATAATTGTGTCGCCACCTGCAGATGGCTACCTCGTTGTGTGTTCCTTTGGCTGAGACACCCGCCGCCGCGCTCTATGTGACCCCGGCTAACTGAGTCGCCGGTCCCGTTCCGCGCGCCGCCAGGGAGCTGGGAGATCGGTTCCTGAGCACGCTCGGCCGCCACGTGTACATTACACCGTCCTCCTTCCTGGACCAGATCCACGCCTTCAGGAAGCTCATCAGCCAGCGCCAGCGCGAGACCAACGACGCCCGAAACCGCTACCTGGGCGGCCTCAGCAAGCTGGCCTTCGCCGCCCAGCAGGTACCGGGGACGGACGGTCAGGGCGGGACCGTGGTTGGACAGCGTATTGCGTGGTTGGGACGGACCTAGTGAGTCAACAGGAATCGGGGGTTGGACGGGCCTAGTGGGACGCTGTGCATTCGGTGTGGGACGGTTAGTGAGGCTCGCGCCTAGCTTGAAGCTCTCGCTGCCGCCAGCACGGCACTCTAGCACTTGGTACGTTAAAAAGGTTGGATCTTATTTAGTGATAATGACTTCAGACTGTGCTGTTTGAGAATATAAGTCTTGTCTCGATTTTATCCCGTAACCATGGATCGGGTCACAGCTACCACAAAGTCTCAGTTAGTGACGAGCGGGCGCCCAATGGTGACGCGTTGTCGGTCCGGTCCGATACGGGTGCACGACATGCAGGTGGAACTGGAGGCGCTGCAACTCTGGGTGTCTGCTCCCGGGTGCCCCAGTGGTGACGTGTCTCCGTTCCGGTCCAGGTGCACGACATGCAGGTGGAGCTGGAGGCGCTGCAGCCCAAGCTGGTGGCCGCCGCCCAGGAGACGGAGGAGATGGTGCGCGTCATCGAGATCGAGTCGGCCCAGGTCAGTCCGCCACGCACACCCACGCTGTCGGCCACTGAGCTGATACTGCTCCGAAGGCACCGGGCGCCACGACCGGACAGCCATGCGCCGTCCGCCCTCCCGAGACCGAGTGACTGATGTGCTGCTGTCGTGGTGTGCACTAATGCCGTGACATGATTTTGCCTAGTTGTATCCGCTCTCTTAGGTCAGTTGCACTTGTGCCGACTTGACGCCGCGCTCCACGCCGCCCGCGGCTGACGTCCCTCGCTCCCTCCCCAGGTGGCCGAGATGTCTGCCAAGGTGAAAGAGGACGAGACGGCCGCCAACATCAAGGCCGAGGCCGCCACCAAACTCAAGGAGGAGTGCGAGGCAGACCTGGCAGAGGCGCTGCCTGCCCTCGAAGGTCCGTGGCCGCTGTTGGAGTGTTCGCTCTGGGGGAGGAGCCCGTTTGTGCTGTTCATACTGCTGAGTCCTCTTTTATTGGCATGCCACTTAGTGAAATATTCTCTAATGGAGTTTACCCAGAAATGTCAGTCCGGAAGAGAGGTCGGTGGTCTCCTTACCCCACCTGTCCAGTGCCTTGGTTCGACGTCGGTCTCTGACACCGCCGTGTCGCCTCCCTGCAGCGGCGCTGGCCGCGCTGGACACCCTGAAGCCGGCCGACATCACGCTGGTGAAGTCGATGAAGAACCCGCCGGCCGCCGTCAAGGTGGTGCTGGCTGCCGTCTGCGTTATGAAGGAGGTCAAACCGGACCGCGTCAACGACCCCAAAAAGCCCGGACAAAAGGTGGGAGAGAGGGGCGGCTCAGCTGAGCCCGGACAAAAGGTGGGAGAGAGGGGCAGCTATATGGAGCCCGGACAAAGGATGGGAGGTGGGGCAGCTTTATGGAGCCCGGACAAAAGGTGGGGGACGGGGCAGCTCAGCTGAGTCTTGACAGCATAGCGCGATTAAATGACCGGATATTTCTGGTTTCTTACTGTCACTGGTCATCTTATGACCGGCGAATATCTGCAAAGGAAATAATTGAAGAATTGCCTTCGTTAATATGTCAATTGGTTTGTCATTTCTCATGGCATGGTGAGCTGACCTGGCCCTGGCCGTCCGTGCCGCCCAGATGAACGACTACTGGGGCCCCAGCCAGAAGATGCTGACGGACACGGCGTTCCTGGCGACGCTGCGTGAGTACGACAAGGACAACATCCCGCCGGCGGTGATGGACCGCATCCGTCGCGAGTACATGAAGGACCCGCTGTTCGTGCCGGCCGTGGTGGCCAAGGCATCCAGCGCCGCCGAGGGACTCTGCAAGTGGGTCAAGGCCATGGAGAGCTACGACAGGGTGGCCAAGGTACGTGCACACCTCCGGGATAGGGGCCAAACCGGGACGGGCTGGAGACTGCAGTCATCTGCTGACGTTTCGAGTCTGTTGTGTGCTCAGGGTGATAAATGAATGGTGCTATCACGGGAACATCGATTTATGCGCTGCACCTTCCTCCACTGGTCTGCTTGTTGATTTCTTCTAATCTCGCCAATGAAAATATATAATATATTTTATAACACTCATCAAAATACAATGTGCCGTCAATGTCTCGATGATGCCGCCAACCTGTGGCGTCTGTCGGTGACCCTGTGCCGTCTCCCCGTCCGTCAGATCGTGGCGCCGAAGAAGGCGAACTTGGCTCAGGCGGAGGCCGAGCTGGCTGAGACGATGGCCATTCTGGACGAAAAGCGCGCTCAGGTCGGTCCCACACCGTACGCCCGGGGCTGGGTGGGGTGAGTGGGAGTCCCCGTGAGTGGAATAGGCGGGGGCGGGGCGGGGTGTGCCTAACTTGTGTGCTCAGACTGCCTCCTGTCAGCTCGTTCTGTCGCATCTCAGTCTAATGTTCGAGAAAAAAAATGTTGTTGGTGCTATTTGTCATCGGAAAGCACTTTGTTTTAGGTGTTTCTCATCCAGTGACTATTGATTTTATCGGGCACCGGTTAAATGATATAAAGGCAGCATCGGTCGAGGCGAGCCCTGTCGACAAAGCCTACCGCGGTGCGTTATGGCACCACGATTCTCAGTGCTGATGGTTGCGATGTGTATGTAGAATTAGCTGGGGAGCCGGTTGTGGTGCCGGCCGCCGCCGCCGCGAGTCGCTGACGGTCGGTCGTGTTTCCGCCCGTGGCCGGCAGGTGGCAGCGCTGGAGGCGCGGCTGCAGCAGCTCAAGGACCAGTTCCAGGAGGCGTGCGACCGCAAACAGCACCTCACCGAGGAGGTGCAGCTCTGCGAGATGAAGCTGGAGCGCGCCCAGAAACTGATCGGTAACGCGCCGAATACCCGCAGTGACTCCCCTACTGGACCATCAGAAACAACTCCAGCTGTCCCCTCCGCCTTCCAGTTCCGCGGCTCCGACTGACCTGTCACACACAGTAGCTGCGCACTCTTCCGTCAGTGCCATCCCAACTTACCCTCCATCCCGGTAGTGCCGCCCGGCTGACCGCCCACCCCACCAACAGCGGCCGCCGGGACCAGTAGTTTAGGCGTCTCTCTCGACCTGACCCTGACAGTCTCCGGTGGGCCCTCCCAGTACTCTGACAGTCCCTCCCAGGGCGCTGACAGTCCCCTCCGGCGGCACACGGGGCCCTCCGCTGACAGTCCCCTCCAGCGGCACACGGGGCCCTCCGTTGACAGCCCCCCCCCCCCCCCCCTCCAGTGGCACACGGGGCCCTCCGCTGACAGTCCCTCTCCGGCGGCACGCGGGGCCCTCCGCTGACAGCCTCCCTCCGGCGGCAGGCGGTCTGGGCGGCGAGAAGGACCGCTGGTCGACGGCGGCCGCCGACCTGCTGGCCGTGCTGGGAAACCTGACCGGCGACGTGCTGGTCTCGTCGGGCGCCATCGCCTATTTGGGACCGTACACGGCCAACTTCAGGTCAGGGGCAGAGTACTACACGATCAGCTTCAGGTCAGGGACGCGGGGGGGGGGGAATAGCTCAGCCACATCGCCTACCTGGGACCGTACACGGCCAACTTCAGGCAAGGGGTGCGGAAGAATAGGTAGTCTGTCAGATATGTATCTCTTCCCTCAGCGTGCTGCCTGTCTGACCGTTTCGTTATCCGCAGGGACGCCTGCCTGCAGGACTGGCTCAAGTACGTGGCCTCCAAGGACCTGAAGCTGTCGGAGACCTTCAGCGTCAGCGGTACGCTCGGCTCCCCCATCGCCATCCAGGCGTGGAACATCAACGGACTGCCCAAGGACTCGTTCTCCATCGACAACGCCGTCATTATCCAGGTGATTTGAGACAGGGACTCGGTTCCGGTCATCACCTCAGTAGTTCTCCAGGTTATCCGCCATGCATACAGTGTAACCCTCGAGTCGGGCGCGCAGGCTCGCCAACGATCTGTTAGCGCTGACCGTTCCGTGTTCCTGCGCCAGCTGGGCTCAGCTAGTCAACCTGTCCTGGATTAGACTCGTGTACGGTCCCGACTCACCCTGCGGCTGCTGCTGACCTCTGACACCACGCTCCGCGTGTGACCGCACCGCCAGGTGTCCCGCCGGTGGCCGCTGATGATCGACCCGCAGGGCCAGGCCAACAAGTGGATCAAAAACAACGAGCGGGACAACAAGCTGGGCGTGGTGAAGCTGTCGGACGGCGACTTTTCGCGCGCGCTGGAGAACGCCATCCAGTTCGGCAACCCGATCCTGCTGGAGAACGTGGGCGAGGAGCTGGACCCGTCGCTGGAGCCGCTGCTGCTGCGGCAGACCTTCAAACAGGGCGGCGTCGAGATGCTCAAACTGGGAGAGGCCGTCATCGAGTACTCGCCAGACTTCAGGTACGCTACCACGGGATATACTCGCCAGACTTCAGGTGCGCTATCTCGGGATATACTCGCACTGGTCGGTCGGTGGCGGCGTGAGACTGACTCGATGCCTCTGATGACTGATGAGTAAGCTGTGCAATTGGTCTGAGGCTTGCTTATCTGTCCAACAATCGATGAATATTTGCTTACGCCATTTGATTATTCAAGTTTATGTCTGGGCACAGGTGAAGGCGGACGTGTTTGGAGACGCTTCAGTGCGTTTTATGTCGGGGCTTCTCGCTCTCGGAGAGTTAAACTGTCGCCGCGTGTTCCGTCAGGTTTTTCATCACGACCAAGCTGCGCAACCCGCACTACCTGCCGGAGATTTCGACCAAGGTGACGCTGCTCAACTTCATGATCACGCCCGAGGGTCTGGAGGACCAGCTGCTCGGCATTGTGGTGGCCAAGGAGCGGTGAGCGGCCGCCGAGGGGCGCCGGCTGACTGCAGCCGCCGCACTGGCGCGGCCCCACGGCTGAACTGCCGCACTCGCCCGGCCCCAATTCTGCATGTCGCTCGTGTGATCCCTGTTCTAAACTGTCGATCTTGTACGGCACCCACCAGCTCTGAGCTGTGTTTGTTCGGACGTGTATAACTCTACGTTTGTTCCCCTAGTTCTGACCATGTGCTCGAGTTTTGTCGCCAGGTCTGTTCTGACCATTTGTTAAGTTCTTGTATTGGTGTTTATTCGCTCGGCCCAGGTCTGGATGCGGGGCGGCAGGCGCTGACTGGTGATTGTTTCGGTGTTTGTTCCCTCAGCCCCGAGCTGGAGGCGGAGCGGCAGGCGCTGATCGTACAGACTGCCAACAACAACCGGGCGCTGAAGGAGGTGGAGGACAAGATCCTGAAGACGCTGTCCTCCTCTGAGGGGAATATCCTCGAGGACGAGACGGCCATCCAGGTCCTCGACTCGTCAAAGGTCAGCCTCCGTCTGCCACGGCACTCTGTATCCTTCAATGTCACGATAGCGAGATAGCGACTATAGTTAACGGTGACTGGAGCTGCTACCGACTAGTTAGTATATCACATAAATAACCGTCAGCCGCTCGGGCCACTGTAGACAATTCATCTCGGACGTTTGTGTCTCACACTAGCTCTTGTTTCTCTATCCGGCGCCGCTCGCCGCTGCCTACAGTCCATTTCGGACCTGCGTGTCTCACTATTTCTATGACTTGGTCAGTGGTCCTGGTCACTGCTCCTACAACTGTTCCTTGCCGCTCGCCGTCGCCGGCAGTCCATCTCGGACGAGATCAACAAGAAGCAGGTGGTGGCCAAGAAGACGGAGAAGACGATCGAGGTGTCGCGCCTCGAGTACCGGCCGATGGCCAGCCACTCGTCGGTGCTGTTCTTCTCCATCACGGACCTGCCCAACATCGACCCTATGTACCAGTACAGCCTCTCCTGGTTCGTCAACCTCTACATCAACAGCATCGAGAGCAGGTCGGTGCCGAGGCGGCCGCTGAGGCGCCCGTACTGGTGGTAGGCTCTTCTGCTAGCTGAGGCGCCCGTACTGGTGGTAGGCTCTTCTGCTAAAGTGGAGTTCAGTGGAACGATCGGACCGCTCGCGTGTTACCTCCAATGAGCTGGTGAGCTGTTCTGAGTTGATTAAACAATTGACGATCGTGCATTGCAGTAACAAGTCGAAGAACCTGGAGAAGCGGCTGCGTCACCTGCGCGACCACTTCACCTACAACCTGTACTGCAACGTGTGCCGCTCGCTGTTCGAGAAGGACAAGCTGCTCTTCTCGTTCATCTTGTGCTGCAACCTGCTCATGTGAGTCGGGCTCGCGCCGCCTCTTCTCTGTTTATCGCATCAGACGTCAAACTTGCCTCCTATTCAGGTGCCTACCAACTTCTCGGCTGGGCTGTTGTTTTAGCTGTCCGTTCCGACTGCGGTGGCGATGCTGGGGCCTCGTGCCCTCGCCTGATTGTCCGGTCTGGGCCGCAGGGTGCAGGGTAAGATTGACCAGCGCGAGTCGACCTTCCTGCTGACGGGCGGCGTCGGCCTGGACAACCCGCTGGCCAACCCGGCACCCGACTGGCTCAACGACAAGTCCTGGGACGAGATCTGCCGGCTGGCAGACCTGCCCGCCTTCAAAGGTGACTGACAGCGGAACTGAGCGGGACACGCTGTCTTCAGAGGTGGGCCAGCGGAATCGGGGGGGGGGGGGGGGGACCTGCCTGCCTTTAGAGGTGGGCGGGCGGTTATTGAGGGACGTGTCCGCCTCTGAAGTGGGCCAGGGGAAAATGAGCCCCCGCCTTCGTTGAGGATAGAGATGTCATCGAGTCCAGCTGACGGAAACTGCTATTTGAATGGCATGTGCTTAAGATGCGTGTGTGTGTGGGGGGGGGGGGGAGGGAGAGGGTAACTGAATCTTTGCATCATAGTGCAATCGTTCTTTCCATCAGTTTTATGGTGTGATCTCTTCTGTGCGGGGCGTATCGTTTGGGATAGCTCTTTGATCTTGGTGCCTCTCACGGTCCCCCTGTGACGGTGACGTGCGCTCGCCGGTCGGTCGGCGCGCAGGCTTTGTCTCCAGCTTCGAGTCCAGCCTGTCCGAGTGGCAGGAACTGTACAACAGTCCCGAGCCGCAGAGCGCCCAGCTGCCAGAGCCGTGGCACGCCAACACCACAGAGTTCCAGAGGATGATGATCGTCCGCTGCATACGGCCCGACAAGGTACTGTTCATACCGTCCGCTGCACACGGCCCGACAAGGTACTGTACCGTCCGCTGCATACGGCCCGACAAGGTACTGTACTCTCCGCTGCATTCGGCCCGACAAGGTACTGTTCATACTGTCCGCTGCATACGGCCCGACAGGGTACTGTTCATACTGTCCGCTGCATACGGCCCGACAAGGCACTGTACTGTCCGTTGCATACGGCCCGACAAGGTACTGTATTGTCCGTTGCATACGGCCCGACAAGGTACTGTATTGTCCGTTGCATACGGCCCGACAAAGTATAACAAGGTATGTACTGTCGGCTGCATACGGCCCGACAAGGTACTGTGCTGTCCGCTGCATACAGCCGGACAAGGTACTGTACTGTCCACTGCACACGGCCCGACAAGGTACTGTACTCTCCGCTGCATACGACCCGACAAGGTACTGCCAGGTACGTGATGGCAAGGTAAGTACAACTGGCCAAGAGTATTACGGAATCACTGCCGAGGGTTTTGCTCATCCTAATCCTGTTTGCGGCAGTTATAGAAACGCCAGGACGCCGCCGTGTGTTTGACGCTATTTAAATGGCGTGGTTAGCCAATGGATTAGCCTTCAGATGGGCTGCACAATCGGCGAGAGGACTGCAGCTGTTGTGCTGCCGTCCGGGGCCACCTCTGACGTCTGGGCGCTGGCCCTCTGCAGATCGTGCCCATGGTGACCAACTTCGTGGCCAACAACATCGGCCAGAAGTTTGTGTCGCCGCCGCCGTTCGACCTGGTCAAGTCGTACGCCGACTCCAACTGCCTGGTGCCGCTCATCTTCGTGCTCTCGCCGGGCGCCGACCCGATGGCGGCGCTGCTCAAGTTCGCCGAGGATCGCGGCTACGGCGGCGCAAAGTTCAACGCCATCTCGCTCGGACAGGGGCAGGTGGGTGGGGCGCGGCCCGCGGGGCGGCGGCGCTCGGCTAGCAGAGTGCCGGGGGAGGGAGGTGGCGCGGGGCGGCGGGGCTGGGCTGGCAGTGTCGTGGGATGAAGGTGTCGCCGTGCAGTGCGACTACTGAGCCCCATGTACCCCCGCGCCGGCAGGGTGCGGTGGCTGGCAGTGCCGGGGGAGTGTCTGTGTGTTGTCGCTGCGACCACTGCACTGACCCCCTCCCGTCTCCCGTTCCGACAGGGCCCGGTGGCCGCCGAGATGATCCGTAAGGCGCAGGAGGAGGGCACCTGGGTGGCGCTCCAGAACTGCCACCTGGCCGTCTCCTGGATGCCCACACTGGAGAAAATCTGCGAGGACTTCAACATGGAGGACACCAGCCCCAACTTCCGGCTGTGGCTGACCAGCTACCCCAGTCCCAAGGTGAGCCGACAGCTAGGACCACCTCGCGCGTGGTCGGAGGTGACCCGGCTTCAGAATCAAACCTGCGGCGTGGTGTGCGTTCCGACAGGTCGCGTCGCTGCCTGAATGAATATCATCGAAAAAAAGAATTGGCTGTCATTAAACGTTTTCCCGCTAGTCGGGTCTGATTTCCCGGCCGCCCAGTTCCCTGTGTAACGGTGTTCAGTCTGGTTCCCCGTCCGTCCAGTCGCTGTAACGGTGCGCGTGCTCTGTCTGATTTTCTGTCCGCCCAGTTCCCAGTGACGGTGCTGCAGAACGGCGTCAAGATGACTAACGAGCCGCCGACCGGGCTGCGCATGAACCTGCTGCAGTCCTACCTGGGCAACCCCATCAACGACGACTCCTTCTACAGCGGCTGTCCCGGCAAGGACGGCGTGTTCGCCAAGCTGCTGTTCGGTCAGTGTATACAGCGGGACGGGGCGGGGCGCGGATCCCGGTCCCGCCGTGTTTGCCGAATTAGCGCCGCCCTATTGACTGACGCCGCGGCCGTGTGACGTATGGGCTAAACTGGGCTACTGGACGCCCAGGTCCGGCTCGTTTAGTGGCGCCGCCGGCCTACAGTAGCTCTCTGTCAAACTGTTTACCCACACAGCGTGTGTATTTATTGGGCACATTTTCCGCTTCGTGTTATTGGTTAAAATTTGAGTTTATGGCTGGCTATCCCTCCCATTACAAACCATCGTTTCATCGCAATATATCTTGTTTGCCAGTGTCGATGCTGTATGTACTGTACTCATTAATTTCGAGGCGTGCCGGCCCCTTCCATTCATGGTCAGTGTTTCTGTACAATGGTTCTGTGTCACGCTCGTAATCGGCGCCCCCATCCCCGCCTGCCGGTCAGGTCTATGCTTCTTCCACGCGCTGGTGCAGGAGCGGCGCAAGTTCGGTCCGCAGGGCTGGAACATCCCGTACGGATTCAACGAGTCGGATCTGCGCATCTCGGCCATGCAGCTGCAGGCCAGTGTTCGCCACGGGCCGTAAAATCCCAGTCCAGCCCAGCCCAGGCCCATGGGTTCACAGCCCAGCCCAGCCCGAGCCCATTCATGGTAAAAGCGTCAAAGCCCAGCCCGTCAAAAATGAATGTAGGTATTAAAAACTATTGACACCACACAGGCATCAAAAGGTAGCAAAGAAACAATCTTCTGCGAGCAGCATGCACAATACACATTGCATGCGTGATTTAATAACTCGTTTGCGATTGCTCTACTCTACATACATGCGATTAACTCGTCTTGCACAGTAATGAGCCGTGTAGTTATTACGGAGCGAGCGAAGCGAGCGGAGTCTTACGTAAAATAACGGAAATTTCTGAGTATGAGCGGCCGGCCGGCCGTGCGGACGCTTTTGCGAGGCTTATATCTCAGCAACCACTTGACCGATTTACATGCGATAATTTTTGTAGGGTAGCTTCATTCCTTCTACCAAGAATTGGACTATTCCCGATGCATGTGGGTGACCCCTTATGCACGTGCCACGTGCAAAACGAAGAGGTGTCACTTTTGTAATTGTTGCAATATCTCGGTAACTACTTGGCCGATTGCGCTGAAAGTTGGCATGTAGGTAGGCACCCACTAGGCACTGCATATCCATGTGCCAGAGTTGGGGTGCTGCTGCACGTGCGCACGTGCAGGGGTCGTTTCCAGATCTCGAGAACGGCTGGACCGATGGCGCTCAAATTTGGTACACAGTTAGGGACCAGTTAGTAGGGTGCCGTGCACAAGTCAGTTGGGACCCATTTTGCACGTGCGCACGTGCAGGGTGCCGCTCCCAGATCTCGAGAACGGCTGGGCCGATTGTGCTCAAATTTGGCACATTGCTAGAAACCGGTCAGTAGGGTGCCGTGCACAAGTCAGTTGGAGGTACCCCCTCGAAATTTCGCACGTGCAAGACTCACCCCCTCGCTCGCTCCGTTAGTCGCCCCAAAAGGCGCTATACTGGTAGTTATTGTCTCAGTTGCGAATCCCTGACTCCACTTGAGAGTTATTGGCCCAGCCCATCCACAGCCCATCGATCCTGCATATTTGAGGGCCCAGCCCAGCCCGAAGCCCAGCCCAGCCCATGGCCCATTGGGCTGGCCCGGCCCATGACGAACACTGCTGCAGGCAAGGAGCTGGGCCGGGTCCAACTCAACACACACACGCACACACACACGCACACGCGCACACACGCACCTACAGCATTCTAGTACATACATACAGACAATATGGCATACCCACGTCACGTACGGACGTGAAGCATCACGCGTCATTGTCTAGCGACTCGACTGCAGATCGCCAATCATCAATAATTGTCTTCCCGACCCAGACTGCTGGAGTCTTAGCAGGGATGCCAGTCAGACGGGGAACAAGGCCGGCATCGGTCTCTCTTCGTGTGATTCATATGAGTGTGCTCATGCCAGCGTTGTGTAGCGCCGTGTCCCTCCTTATCTCCATAAATACATACACAGTTCACCTTACCAGTGACGACCAGCAGGCTGACGTCCCGCCCGTTGCAGTCGCCGATGGACACGTCACTGGCCCTCAGACAGCTGACCTCCCCCTGTGTCTGTCTGTGCTGTTGTTTAAATGTTCATTAACGAGTACAAGTCGGCGGGTCATTAACTGACCTCGCCCGGTGTGTGTGGTGCGTCTGATGTGAGCAGATGTTCATTAACGAGTACGAGTCGGTGCCGTACGCGGCGCTGGCCTACCTGACGGGCGAGTGCAACTACGGGGGCCGTGTGACTGAGGACTGGGACCGGCGCACCCTCAACACCATCCTGGCCGACTTCTGCAACCCGCGCCTGGTCGCAGAGACCAAGTACCGACTCTCGCCGTCCGGAGACTACTACGTGCCCAACAAAATCAACTACGACGACTATGTCGAGTACATCAAGGTGAATGCGCCGTGCGGCCGCGCTCGACGGGCTGATTACAGTGTACAATGGGGACATCGGTGGCCCTATCGTCAACAGGCTTGGGCAGGAGACGGCTTAATTGCACTGTTTCCTTTGTGGCTGGTGGTCCCTTGGGGTCGGTGGATGCATGCCAATTTGGCTAGCAGCTTTGATGGTTGACCCGTTCGTGGTTCGAGTAATATAATGCTTTTTGATGTGTTAGCTGTATCGTGCGGCGCATCAGCAGGCCCGTGCACGGGTAGTACGCCCGACTCTAAGGGCGCCTGGGTACTGACACACGGAGGGCACTGGGTGCGCACCGTTCTCCCATTGAGGGCACTGGGACGGGTCAATAGCGGGTCAACAGCGCAGCGTGGCGCGACTGACACCGTGTGACCCGTGGCGTCTGACCCTCTGCCGCAGAACCTGCCGACCACGCAGCGGCCCGAGGTGTTCGGCATGCACGACAACGTGGACATCAGCCGAGAGCTGGCCGAGACGCGGCTGCTGTTCGACTCGGTGCTCACCATCCAGGGCGGCGGCGCCGGCGGCGCCGGAGCCAACATCGACGCCGCCTTCGGTATCGCCTCCGACATCCTGGACAAGGTCAGTGTGAGGGAGGCCGGGCGCACCGCACCGGGCACGGCCGACTCGCGTGCCGAGTCGTTTTCACATCGCTACCAGAGGTGTGTTCCTCTGGTCTCGGTGTGCCCCTGACGGACCCCGCCGCCCCGCTCTCAGGTGCCGGAGGTGTTTGACCTGGAGGCGGCTGGCGCCAAGTTCCCCGTGGCCTACAACGAGTCCATGAACACGGTGCTCGTGCAGGAGATGGAGCGCTTCAACAGACTCATCTCCGTCATCAGGACCACGCTGAAGAACCTGAAGAAGGCCGTCAAGGTATGTGGCGAGCACACCGGTGGCCGCGCGCTGTGGTCAGGGACGGGCTGTCGTGGTGTGCAGTCGGAATATGGGGGCCTGTCTCAGACGTCCGCTGTCCATGAGTGTCCATTGTAACAGGGGATGGGCAGCGATGGTGATGTATCTCACCTCCCTGTTCATTAGGGGTACCCATTTTTCCCGATTTTGGAAATTTCAGGGTGGGGGTGGTTTTTCCCATTATTTCGCGGCTCCTGATTCCAATGATGCCAAAAATATTGAAATCAAAGGTGGTTTAGGGGTCGCGAATTGAGATTGAAATTTGCGTATTTACCTAGAAATATGTCTATTTTACGCTGATCGTAAATCGCACCAAAGGCAAACTTTTTGTTTCGAAAGTCGGGTACAGGGGTCATTGAACGCTCCTTTTTCATCCAGATCGATGTGCTCCATCACGTGGTTCCGTTTAAATGCTTTACTATATAGCGATCAATACTGCAGTCGATATTGCAACATTTGGTGAAAAGCGCCGTGATGTTTTGCTCCTGTTGCTGGTATCATTCTGGTCGGCGTGTAATCATTTTTGATATCTTCTGCCTTCATGTGACCTTTGGTGACCTTTGGTATTGGTGACCTTTGATGACCTGTGAGGTCAAACTTAAATGTGACGTTTCAGTTGCCACATCTCAGTTCATGACAGGCTTTTTGTGTCCATACAAGTTAAGTTTCCGCAAACTAGCTCAGGATACATCTCACAGATCATGGCTCCGAATGGATTTCAAACCATGTAATTCAAAAACGATCAAACCATTTTGAGTTTTGACCGTATACTTCCACAAGAAAAGCCGTCCTGATCGCTGACCACAGGCGGCGGAACGGGGAGGGCACCAGGGCACCGTGCCCCCTTTGATTTTGGCATTTTAACATTAGCCCTAGGGGCGTTGCATGGAAAAAATGGGACCAAAAGTCGGCAGTGCCCCCCTTAATTGAAGGTGTTCCACCGCTACTGTCGCTGACGGCTACGATGTAATAAACCTATGAGACAAGGTAGAATAAATCTGGGTGTTCTACCCAGAAATATCAACTTCTAATCCAAAAACATAAACTCCAAAGCGTCGATTCTTTCCATGCCTACCAACCATGTACCTACTATTCCATTTCTTCAGTGGGGACAGATACGAGTACACACCGTTCTTAAGTGTAAGAGTTTCCGATACAGTGCACATCATTTACGACTTTACATTTTCGACCACGGGCGACTAGCCATGCGCTGATACGTGCATAGCTGATACGTGACGAAGACCTTTCACAGCTCCTTGCACAGATCACTTGTGATCTGAGGTAATTGGCGTCTGAATCTGAAGAACCTAATGAAGCAGATTTTCATCCTGCATGGGCCGTATGGTGGTAACCAGGACGCGGCGTCATATAAAGGAGTGTGCGTGCAGAGGCTGAAGACGAGGAGAACTAGGTCCGCCACCTAAGGTCCGTGGCCCACCCAATGTGTCGGCCCCCAGGCAATGCCAGGAGTCAGTAAACGGATCTGCCTCGGAGTTGGCTGAGTCGTTTAGCTCTCGGCACCTTCCCAATTTTCAGCTTTAGCCAATGCCATTCGACTTCAGTTCAGCACCATCTGAGGGTTTGGACTGGGCCTGTAGAGTGCAACGTAAGGTCCGTTATCTTGCAAGGATGCTGCTGGCAGCGGCCATCACCAGGCACTAGTTCCTTGACATGATATCTGCACCCGTCTCAAGTCAGCAATAGTTATGTCAACAGTCTCAACAAAAGTCTGTATGTGGGTGTGGGTGTTTGTGGGAGAGGGGCAAAGCTACACTCATACAGCAGTCACCCAACGGCGCGCGGTGGTGTAAAGCTTGCGCCCCTCCCTCAGCCGTGTCTGCAACTCCGGGGCTAGGGGAGGTCGGCTAGCGAATTGGCAATAGGTCATGCATACCGGCATAGCTTCAGTGCTGTTTTCATCTCGTTATAGATATAAATAGGCCATTAGCAACTTATTTATCTACTCCATGCCATATTTCCGTTACAATACGACACACGAGTTATATCGTCACATCCGTAACGGCTTTTAATGCCCCTCCCACCAAGATTGTGTCAATATTCATTGTTTACGTCCTGGGGTTCAGTCATTTCTTTTGCTGAATAAGACGACTCATTGAAAACTAAATGGTCCTAATGAAAAAGCTTCGATCACTGATTTTAGCCCTCTGACTACATAGCCAGTCGTTCTAAGAGTTACGGTCTTGTGTAGGTAGGTACTAATGACGGTCTAAGCCACAGTGAGTGTAAATGAGCATATGCTGCTCATTGACCAAAATGATATTTTTGGTACTCTCTTTTACCGCTGCAAGTCGAATATACCTACAACTAAAGCAATGTTGCACGGTGTCAAACAGTCATTAATACCACTGCAACACATTGGCTTTGCGCATAAAGTCATTTTTCCAAGTAAAATTAAAACTTCCAATGCAAGCTCGCGATCCCTTAAAGTGGTCTGATATCGTTATTTCTGTCACTGCTAGATCCAGAACGGAGCAAATAATGATAAAATCGACCCCAAACCGTTGGCATGGTAACTTTGTCCCAACATAAAATAATGTTAATTTGGTCGATTTTCCGCTAAAATTGACCTTTTCATTTTGAATACATGACCTCCAGAAATCGTTTGGTTTCGTTATTTTTGGCACAGATGGAATCAGAATAGACCAAATAATGGGAAAATTGACTCCAACCTGTTGGCATGGTAGCGTTGTTCCAAAATAAAATAGCATTAATTTGGTCGATTTTTCGCTAAAACTGGCATTTTCATTTTGAATTCGCGACCCCTAAAAATCGTTTGATTTCGCTATTTTTGGCACAGATGCAATCAGAATAGACCAAATAATGGGAAAATCCACCCCCACCTAAAATTTGAAAAATTGACCCAAAAATGGGTACCCCTACTGTCCAGGGGCTGGTGGTGATGTCTGTGTTACTGACTGTCCAGGGGCTGGTGGTGATGTCTGTGTTACTGACTGTCCAGGGGCTGGTGGTCATCTCTGTGTTACTGACTGTCCAGGGGCTGGTGGTGATGTCTGTCTCTGTGTTACTGACTGTCCAGGGGCTGGTGGTGATGTCTGTGTTACTGACCTGTCCAGGGGCTGGTGGTGATGTCTGTGTTACTGACTGTCCAGGGGCTGGTGGTGATGTCTGTGTTACTGACTGTCCAGGGGCTGGTGGTGATGTCTGTGTTACTGACTGTCCAGGGGCTTGTGGTGATGTCTGTATGTATAACTGACCTGTCCAGGGGCTGGTGGTGATGTCTCTGTGTTACTGACCTGTCCAGGGGCTGGTGGTGATGTCTCTGTGTTACTGACTGTCCAGGGTCTGGTGGTGATGTCTGTCTCTGTGTTACTGGCTGTCCAGGGGCTGGTGGTGATGTCTGTGTTACTGACTGTCCAGGGGCTGGTGGTGATGTCGCCGGACCTGGAGGCGGTGGCGCAGTCGCTGCTAGTCGGCAAGGTGCCGGCGCTCTGGGCCAAGGCTTCCTACCTCAGCAGGAAGCCGCTGGGCAGCTACATCAACGACCTGCTGGACCGGCTGAACCTGCTTCAGGTGAGCCGGCTGCCGGGGACCGGTGCCCACCCCGCAGTCCCTGGTCCGGGGTGGCCGTCAGGGACTCAGGGACCGGTGCCCACCCCGCAGTCCCTGGTCCGGGCGGCCGTCGGGGACCGGTACCCGTCCGGAAGTTCCTGGTCCGGCGGACCGGTGCCCGTTCGGCAGTCCCTGGTCCGGGGCAGTGCCAAGGCGCGCCCAATGAGATTCGGCACTGTCGTGGAAAACATCCGGCATCAGGCTTCGAAGCTTCATGCTTGACACCTTCCGTTAGTGCTACTTGGGACTGAATGCGTACATTGTCGGGATGCCCGGATGATGAGTTGTATCGTAATTCGTAACGCAATGATGACGAACAGCCGTACCAAGCGCGCCTACGACAGGGCCGGCCGCGCAGGGGTATTGGTTAACCCGCGCCCCACTGGGGTCTGCGTATAACACGCCCTACTGGGGGGGGGGGGGCTATTCATAGCCCCCCCCCCCTCCTAACTCCGAAACTACTGGGCCGATCGTCAAAATTCAAACGGCGTCTGATAGCCCCGGAAAAACTGTCGAGCGAAACCTAATTTCATTGACCTCGACGTCACCGATGACGTCACAGGTCAGGTCAAAGTAAAAATTATTAGCATTTTGGCTTGTTCACGTTTTGGGCTCTGGCCGCCGTCTTACAGGTCCGATCAGGCTCATTTTTGGTTCACACACTCGTGAACAGATGTTCTAGATACCCTGAGGGTACCAAACTTGTACTTTGATTTTCAGGTCAAGGTCAGGTCATCACAGGTCACGAAAATATTATATCATGCCTCGGTCACGTGACACATGTTTTATGGTCCATTTAGGCCAAAGATTTCGGATTTGATGTCGTCTGTGTCATTCGAGGTCATTTTGAGTCAAATTTAGCTTAGGGTCAGGTCACTTTCAGGTCAAAAAAGTCAAATTTTGAAGTTAAAATTTGTCAACAAAAAAGGTGTCTATTGGATGCAGTTTGAGCTCAGGAACACGATGGTGCTATTTATATTGGCGTACGATGTCAAATACGTGCTGAAAAATTGATTTGAAAAATTAATAATTGTAAATTTTTTGCAATAATGCGTATAACTTGGCCATTTTTGAAGATATTTAGCTAAAACTTGCTAGAGTTAGTCATAATAACGCTATCTATCACATATATTGCGGTTTTTTTCGAAAAGTCAAAAAAAAAATTGAAAAAAATGTAAAAATGTAAATTTTGAATTTCATTATATGAAATTTTCAAAATTTTGAAAATTTTGAAAATCCAAGATAGCAGTTTGATAGCGCAGTCTATTCTGAGTCCTCTCATGCAAAGAAATTGGATCTAGCTTAAAAACTGAGCCCTTGGGAACGATTGCCGTGGTTCAATGTTTTGCGTCGAAATCGGCCGAACATGACGTCACTCTGACGTCATTTCCGGCCGACCTATGGTAGCTACGAAGTTCAAATTTTGACACAAGGTGTCAAATTGATGCAGCCGAAGGTACTGAAAGTTTGGCGTTGATACGTCAAGCGGTTTGGAAGTTATTGCAGAAAAACGGGAGGGGGGCTATAAATAGCCCCCCCAGTGGGGCGCGGGTTAATAGCGGGACCGCCGAATGGCGCAGTAGCCTTCCGCACACGGATGCTCCGCGAAATAACGTCACTAATGGGCACTGTCGCCCACCGGCGGAGCCGAATAAGCCCCGGTCGCCTTTTTGTTTGCGTTCCCTGGCTGTATTTTTGTGCTGAGTGATTCACTTTTGTTGACCAATGACGTATGGATACCCTGGCTCGAAGAGGAAGTTATGTCTACGTGTTCATGATACCGCGTTTGCGACACGCTAGAGTAATTGATCATGATGCAGTGCAGCCGAACAAACGTCTGGTATTGGCAGTTTTACCCGTTGTGCACACTGTGGCCGGCCGGGGGCTGACGGCCCAGAAGGGAACTTGGGCCATACAGGTGACCTCGACCCAATCCATCGAGGTCATCACGCTGCTCGAACGGTCCCGGTGCTATATTTCGATTCGCATTACAGGCATATTGAATTAGCTGCTGTTTGACATATGCACATAACACAGACACGTAATATCCTGCATCTTTTTTGGTTTACTCATGAAATGGGTACTTTGCATATTTAGCATGGAACAGCATGGAGGTTTATGTCTCATTAGCTGCCAGCTACCGAAGAGCCCGTTAAAGTTTATAACTGTCGGCTGCTGCTTATAACGGTAGCGGTGGCGTAAAGGCACGGAGAAACTCGGCAGTTTTCTCCAAACTCCAATCGTGTGCTCTCTGAATTCAACCGAAAATCAACTTGTTTTGATGTTTTAAAAACTGTGAAGGTAGGGGATAGGGTTTTCTCCCCTAAACTTAACCCGCGCCCTGGTGGGGTCTGTTTATAACGCGACCTGGTGGGGGGCTATTTTTTGCCCCCCCCCCCTCGTATCTCCGAAACTACTGGACGGATCCGCAAAATTCAAACGGCGTTCGAAAGGCCTGTCAAATTTGTCGAAGGAAACCAAATTTCATTGACCTCGGGGTCACCGATGACGTCACAGGTCAGGTCAAAGATGAACTGTTTCACCGTTCACGGGTCTGCTAAGGAATGCGCTATAACACCGAGGAAAACGCATTTTGTCGATAATCAGCGATAGGGCGTCAGTTGCCTAGTAGATATGTTGCTATTAGAGGTCACTGACAATACCAGGTCAGGTCACAGGTCAGGTCACCAAGGATCACAGGTCAGGTCATATGAGCCCAACTTTACTAAGGTTGTGTGATGCATGTTTTATGGCCAATTTTTCATTTCCAACTCAATGGTGTTGGTTATAAGACTATCAGGTACGGCTTAGGTCACTTTCTGGTGAAGTTCAGGTCAAGGTCAGGTCAAGGTTAGGCCAAAAAAGGTCAAATTTTAAAGTTGATAGTTTTGCATAAAATGGGCATTGATTCGATGCAGCTCATCACGGGGAGTCTAATGGTGGTCTTTGTTTTGCGCTACGGGGTCTAGAATTGCGAAAAGTTGAGTTTGAAAATTTGACGTCATCAATTTTGAACAGTTTTTTCGCTATAACTTCGCCAAAAAAGAGGTATCAATCTCAAATTTGGTATGTAGATGGAAGGCGGTAAGCACTATCACATATATTCCGGTTTTTGCGAAATTCAAAAAACTTTTTGGATTTTTCGATTATTATATCCAAAAAAAAAATATTTTTTGATTTTTGGGGGTCCAAATCCAAAAATTTCAAAAATCCGAGATAGCAGTTCTGTAGCCCTGTTGATTCTACAGCTTTTAGGGGAAGGTGGGGTAAGACGGACCAGCTAAGGTTTGAGGCCGCATATCTTGCTACACTGCTCTCGTAATTCATATTATTTATAGTCTTCGGAATGCTCAATCCTTCCTCTGTTGATATGTGTAAAGACTAAATTTCAAATTAAAGACATCTAGGTGGTGGATGCTCTTTAAGAGGGACATGTCAAAAACTCAGACAAGAAAAAACGTGGGGTAAGACGGACCACCCAGCAGTGCCTGCTATCCGTTCATGTGTGTTACACTTCTGCTCTGTACTCTTGTAAGAAAAAGTAACCAGAATGGTAAAATAACAAAATGAGCCTTTATTCTTCACTCTGTGTGATGGAAGTGCAGCTAAAAGCTGGGAACATGTGTGTTGATTGTCGTTTGGCATGAATGCATGCTAACTGAGCACTTGCATGCATGGCTCGTAGGCAACAAAGACTCCTTCCTGAAAAATTAGTTTACTTAAACTTGTGTCAATGTTTTGGAAAAGAACTTTCCATATGCAGGGTAGGGGAGAGCGGGGCCAGTTGAACCACTTTTTATATATTGACATGCACAGCGAGATCCAGTTGTCATATCGAAAAATGCACAATACTATGACAAAATATGCTCTTTTGGCTTTATTTTAAGATATGTAAAATTATGTTTCAAACATATTTTGCTGCCAAACGCATGCTTATAAAACAGCTCTACGCCCGTTTCAAATGACCCCGATGCGAGGGTCAATTGAACCAGCCCATGGGGTCAGTTGCACCTATCCTTAACAATGGGATGTTTTCCTCTTTAAGGCCACTTTTTTAAGGAGATATTTTGTCCGATTTACTTTTCCAAATGCTACATTCAATAGGTCGTTGGAAATCTAAAAGTGCAAAGTTCCTCATAATAGGTGACATAAAGTACAGGGTGTCCCATAAGTTCGTTCTCACATTTTATTTGCATGTGAAACAGAGTACATTGCGTTTTGATATATTCATGACCCCTCAATGTGCTCCCCATTTAATAGGCAAACACATGAACACATGCTGCGGCATGCCAACCGGCATGTTTGGCTGCATAGCAGGCTTAAAGTTAACCCAGACTGACTTGACATGCGCCGTGAACTCCTCGAGGCTGGAACAGCGCTACGCTTCGACGAGCCTAAATTTCAGCATAACCAACAATTTTTTATGAAATTTTGATCCGATCAGGTGCTTGGCATGTGGTCTTGCCACAAACGCCTGTCACAGTCTCCTTGCACCGCTTTTAAGCTTTGCTTGACCTGTGCACTGATGCATTGTCTTGCCTGAAGATGGGCCTACGACCTCTCGGATGCCATTTTCTCCTCTATAAATGTGTTCATACTCGCGTTTCGAGTTCAACTTGAGGGCTGAAACTCCTCCTAGATTTTCTTGAAAAGGTATTATGCTTCCCAAAGCTGTTTCTGGGACACCAATCGCAACCTGGTCAGCGTCTGGACGCCTATAACCCCACAATACCGTGACCTTGGCCTTTCGCATACGAACATAACGGGACGAAACGGAGGCCTCCTCCTTCGCCCTTATGGGGTTGTTTTCGGGTTTGGACGGGTGTTTCATCTCGAACGTGGACTAGTTAGTCCAGATGACCTGGTTGATGTCCTCAGCCCTTTAGTTTTTTAGCCTCAGGCACAACGAAACTCATGTTTGGCCATTTTAAGACGTTTTTGACTGTTTTGAGCCCTCCGGTAAGCAAAGCTTAAGTCACCTTGAGTTATATACCCCATAAGAACAATTTTAGACAGCTGGTAATCCATCCTGAAAAGTCTGCTTACCAACTTTCTAACCCTTTGACCTTTTTGATGGCCACTTTGGCGCCACACAGTTTTGGCCACATGGCTCACTCCTGAGAGCTGACAAAAAAAGAGGATAAATTTGCAGTGATTGACTCCCGACAAATCATCGGTGTCACTTGCTGACTGTACGTCCAGTTAGCGATGGACATTGTCTACAGACTGGTAGGCCTCAATCACCCTCAATCGTCGCGAATGGTCACGTGCTGACTAAATACCGAGACGTACCCGTATTGGAGACCTCTAAGTTCCGGCGTTAGCCGTCTGTGTAGGAAACGGGCTCTCTAGCAAAAACTATTTTGTCTACAGAAATTAGTTACTGTGGAGCATATTTCTACCAGCCATGGCAACCACGTAAGCTCAGTAACGAGCCAATTTCAGCGTGCCTTTAAGCAAGAGAGCCTAAAAACGTAAAATTTAGGTGAGAACGAACTTATGGGACACCCTGTACATAGACTATGGTAAAATGGGCGGATGAGGAAAATGAGAAATATCTCAGGCTATAGTGTGCTTTCAAGCAAAAGGCTGAAGAAAACGGGACAAAAATTGAGCTCTATTAAACTACTATTTCAGTTTAAAAGCTCGTTTCAAAGGTGGACTATTTCCTTTAATGTTTACAGCCCCTGAACAATAACCATTGCAAAGGTCACCGGGGTCCATTGAAACGGCCTGTGGCCCTGTTTCAACTGACCCTCAGAGAAGCGTTTCAATTGACCCCATCCGCTCCCGCCATCTCGCACGCGCCGTAAAGCATGTATGTCAAACGAGCTGGAGGGACGGCATCATGCTGAATGAAGGGCCAAATAAGGTGTTATTCCGGAGTCAGGAGTTCTTCTTTCAGCAAACAAAGGTATATGATATATCACAAAATATTCATAAAAACGATTTCTCCCAAACGCCCCTCAAAAACACAAAAACAAGTGTCAAATCAAAAGTACCGTCCGTTTGCCGCCCAAACGCCGTTGACAAAGGAAGTGGTCGAGCGAGGATGCGCAGTGGTGTCGGCAACGCCATATGTTGCATACTGTTGAAAATAAAGAAATGTTTCATCTGACCCCATGTTTCAACTGGCCCCGCTCTCCCCTACAATGGACCACCACAGGGTAAGATGGACCACAGTGGTCCGTCTTGCCCCAAATCTAAATTCTGTAATTATCATGACATATATGTCAAATAACCCAACATTGCAAAACCTTGCCTTTCCTAAAGTGTGACTATAATTAAGTTTATAACTTTGTTCTTCACAGTTAAGTGCAAAATAGAAACTAATCATGCAAGAAAGGCGCCGTAATTGAATCACCCGTAGACCTCTTATATTAGATAGGTTTGACGAAAAACAACATTTTTCTCTATAACTCAAAAGCTATGCATCCTAGCAGCATGAGCCCAAGGTGGCCATTGTTACGAAGGAAAACAAACATAGTGAGTGCATAAAGCAGTAGATACCAGCAGCAGTTCAGCCGGGAGGGCTGGTGGTCCGTCTTGCCCCGCTGGGCCGTCTTACCCCACCTTCCCCTATGTCTTTATCATTTTTCTGTATTTGCAAAGCTATAGGCCTGACAGCTCTTCCCGCGAAACCCTTTTTTGGGTCGAAAACGGCAGAACATGACGTCACTCTGACGTCATTTCCGGCCAACCTATCATAGCCTTTGGAAAAATTTTTGGTCACAATGTGTAAAATTGATGTCCGGGAGGGTACTGAAAGTTTGGTGACGATCGGCGCAGCGGTTCTGGAGATATATCGAAAAGTCTGGAGGGGGGGGGGGCAAAAAATAGCCCCCCCACCAGGTCGCGGGTTAACCCTATTAGTGGCAGGGGGGGTTGTTTTTATCCACCCCTCAGGTTTTTCGGGAATATCTCCGAAACCGCTGAAGCTACGATGCTGAAATTTTCTGACTTTTCTTAAAACTAAATTGGGCAAATTCCCTGAAAATTTCAAGTTCATAACTTTACCAGGGGCGGCTCCAGAGCACTGGGAATTGGGGGGTCCTATTCGTGAAGCGAGTCATTTGGGCGTAGATCACGATGCTGCACCAGTTTTACGAACAGTGAATGAAAGGTATTATGTGATAACATATACAGTTATTGTGCATCCTCTTTTGACACGTTTTTGCTATAATAGGCGGATCCAGGCGTCCAAAAAGGGGGGTTATGTTTTACCTCCCAACATAGGTGCCCTGACACCGCCTATGCATGACCAATACAATTGTAGTCGTTCTCTCATAAGAAAATTGTAACATAACAAGACCATTACCACCCTTTTTAGAAACAGTACCAACAAAAACCTTATTTACTATACTTTTTGTGTACCCCCAATCTCAATGATCTGTATCCGCCTATGATTTTTGAAAATGCATATTTTTAGGATCCATGTGAATTCCTGGTTCATTCTCTATCGATCGGCAAAAGTTGCGTTAAGATTGGTTCAGAAACCTGGCCGTGATAAACAGTTTAAAATGTATCTGCAATTTGCCCGTTTTTACCCCCCTCTACCCCCCCCCCCTATTGACATTTTTTAATTCTTATTTTTTTTTAGAAATGTAGATCACGTTGAGCGAAATCGAATGCCGTTTGAATTTTGAAAATCGGCCCGTTAGATCTCGAGATATCAAGGAGGGTCGTAAACAGCCCCCCCCCCTGCCACTAATAGGGGGTAGCCAGGAGCCTGCCACTAATAGGGTTAAGGTCTGGATAAGCTCCTAGAAGTGTGGCATGCGAGATATTGAAAGAAAGTAAGCCGTCTGGATCCCGCTCACGAACGCTGCTTACCTTTTACCTAAGGCAATCGACGTCACCGCCTTATTCTCCGGGTCGGCTCTTAACCCGCGCCCTGCTGGGGGGGGGGTGTTTGAACACCCCCCCTTGTGGTTTTTCGCGAATATCTCAAAAACGGCGGCGCTCCGCGCCGCCGTTTTTGGTACACCTTATCATACATCAATTCTACACATGTTGTGAAAATTTCAGACCAAGGTCATTCAAGGTCAGGTCACCAGGTCACTTGAAGTGACCTCACCTCATAAAAAGTTTCAATGTCTGTCATAGCTACACCGAGTGGCCGATCGCTTTGAAACTTTCAGCGATTGCTAAGAGCAATAGCATGTACAAAATGTATATCTCAGAATTTTGATATCGATGACCTAAGGTCAGGTCAATTTTGCGACCTCCCCATTATAAGTCAATGGGAGAAAATTGAAATGCGCTTCTTTTGGACAAAAGACATTATAAACACTCCCAAACACCGAATTACAAGTGGTTTAGACACACTGAACATGAAAATGGTGTCCGTGACCCTTGTTTGTGCCCTGAGGTCATCTTAGGTCACGAATGGTATCTAGCAGTTTTTCGCAAATAACTTTTGATAGAGGCATGCTAGAGCGATGAAAACGCCTTATATGTGTTCAGCTCGACGATACGGATCGACTGATATGCAACATGACCCTTTCCGGTCAGGTCATGACCTTGACCTGAGGTCAAATTTTCAACTTGACCTTTCAAGGTCAAGTTATAGTTCATTCGATGCGTCTTGACGAGAGGAACACGATGCCGGTAAAAGTAAGCTCGTACAAGGCTTGGATCAAAAGTTATTGCAGAAAAACTGTTTTAAAAAAAATCGGCTATTTTTGCAGTTTTTGCCCCCTGCAGGCAAAACCGTTGACGTTAGGTCAAATCTGAGAGAATTACTCAGAAAGGGCGTTTATAGGGCTATCGGATGCACTTTTCCGCGGCGCTGTAGCTCTATTGGTTCCCGAGTTATGCGTTAGCTTCTTGGAAATTTTCGACATTCGACCTGGAAATCGGCGAAATTTTGCCTTCAATGACCTCTGGTGACCTGACCTTTGACCTGACCAAAAAATTGACCGAAGTGATTTCGTCATTATTTTTTACGCTCTTTCGAACGCCGCCTTCCGCGTATCGCTACGTGGCCCAGGAGCCGAGTTACAAGGGGGGGGTGTTCAAACACCCCCCCCCCCAGCAGGGCGTGGAAATCCAGGACCCCCAGCCGGGCGCGGGTTAAATGAACACCACGCTTGGGTGGCCAAAGCACGCCATTTGACGGCGTTCGATGTGGAGAGGCCGTCCCGCGCGCGCTGACCGGTGCGGCGCCGCCGCTGACCGACAGACCTGGTACGACCACGGCAAGCCGCGCATCTTCTGGCTGTCGGGCTTCTACTTTACGCACGCGTTCCTCACGGGCGCCATGCAGAACTTCGCCAGGAAGTACGTGCTGCCGATCGACCGTCTGACGTTCGACTTTGTCTACCTGGCCGCCGAGCCGGCCCAGACGCCCGACGACGGCGTGCTCATCAACGGCCTCTTCCTGGACGGCGCGCGCTGGGACTACGACACGTGAGTCGGGCCGGCAGGGACTACGAGACGTGAGTCGGGGCGGCAGGGACCACCGGGACTGCGACACCTGGGTCGGGGCGGCAGGGACCGCTGGGACTACGACACGTAAGTCGGGGGCGGCAGGGACCGCTGGGACTACGACACGTGAGTCGGGGCGGCAGGGACTACGACACGTGAGTCGGGGCGGCAGGGACCGCTGGGACTACGACACGTGAGTCGGGGCGGCAGGGACTACGACACGTGAGTCGGGGCGGCAGGGACTACGACACGTGAGTCGGGGCGGCTGGGACTACGACTCGTGAGTCGGGGCGGCAGGACCGCTGGGACTACGACACGTGGGTCGGGGCGGCAGGGACTACGACACGTGAGTCGGGGCGGCAGGGAGCGCTGGGACTACGACACGTGAGTCGGGGCGGCAGGGAGCGCTGGCCGGTTGGGACCACCGGGACTACGACACGTGAGTTGGGTGGGAGAAAAGGTGGTGGGACTGGTGGGAAGGTCAGGACCTACGGATGGAAGGGCGGGCGGGCGGCCCCGTGGCGCCGCGCCGGTCCCGCTGTCTATCTGGCTGGTGCGGGATGCCAGTTCGATGGCCCGTCTCCCGGTGGACGGCCGCCGGACCGCTGGGACGACCGGGTGGGACCGTCCCCATCGGACGGTGGCCGGTCCACCGGTCACCTGCCGTGCCATACAGGGACGGAGGTGGCCGCGGACCCCGTCCGGCCCGCCGCGGAATGATTGAGACGTCGGATCCCTGCCACTCTTCTGTTCAACAAATTCCTTCCACTTCACGGCGTTTGGCTTTATCACAACGCTCTTTCTGATTGTGCATCTATTTGGCTGTTACTCCAATCTAACATCGCTCCAAATGCAATGTAGCGCTTCTAACTAACATAATTGTTTCCTTGCTATATAGTAATTTCTTTAGTTATTGCTTTAAGCCGCTGCTTTGGCTGCGTGAGCCGTCGGCCTCGCCATACTAACACCTCTGCCTGTACGCTGAGTCTGTGGCACGAGCCGTCGGTCTCTCGCCATGCTAACACCTGTCCGTGGCTCTGCCCTGGCTCTGTGTGCGCGGGCAGCGGCGGCCTGGCCGAGCAGCTGCCCAAGGTGCTCTACTACCCGCTGCCGATCGTGTGGCTGAAGCCGGTGCAGAAGGACCAGCTGGAGGTGGGCGCGCGCTACCTGTCGCCGCTGTACAAGACGTCCGAGCGGCGCGGTACGCTCAGCACCACGGGCCACAGCACCAACTTCGTGCTGCCGTTCCTGCTGCCGACCGAGCGGCCGGCACAGCACTGGGTGAAGCGCGGCACGGCGCTCCTCTGTCAGCTCGACGACTGAGCCGTCCAGAGACAGGCGCCGACCGGCACAGCGCCGCAACGCAACGCGACTCGAACGCTGCACCCGAGAGACGACAGAACGGCAACTGGCCCGGCCCTACTGCAGTGTGACATATACCATACGATCATACTGTATATTACTGCAACATTCAACACTCCTTTTTATTTTGTAAAACAAATTATTGATATGCAAAACTAAGTAGCATTGAAATTAAAGGCGACGTGGGTCGTGCAATAGCTGATTGTCAACGTGCAAAATATTGTGCGTAACGACATCAATTTTTGTGATCTCAAGCAACTTAAGTTGCTAAATATCATCATTTAATTACAGATCGTCGTCTTTTTTGTTCGTTTGATGTCCAATGTCCATGGTGCCTTTGCTACACTCACCGTGTTTCTTTGAGACAGCGGTGCCTTTTGGCGAGCATTTACGTCTGTTATCATGTGGTCCTTGTGCAAATTTCACTTGTTGCCATCCTGCCATCGATATGTGATCATCGAATCTCCAATAAAATGTCATCTTTTCGCCGGTCCGTGTTTGTGCGGTGTGTGTGTGTACTGACTGCGGGCACCAGGACCGAGCTGATGGCCGGAGCCGCACGGAGGTGACTGGTCGTGTACGCACCACCGTGACAGCCGTCCCTCGGCGGCCTGACCTGGACGGGCGGGGCGGGGCGGCACTTCATGCGTGCTGACTTGTGCGTAGGGGAGAGTGGGGCAAAGCGGCCACCCTAACGCTTCTCACGATGCCAACGCTTGATTTTTAAACTTGGAAATATTCTTTCTATACCAATGTGATCCCTATTAACCCTCGCCCATGTAGGGGGGGGGGTTGTTGCAACCCCCCCCCCCCCCCCTGAGGTTTTTCTTAGCTACACGCCGAACCATTTCAGATAGCCTGCTCAAATTTTTAGTACCCTTTGGGGCATCCTTTGCGCAACTTTTGGTAAAAATTTTTTGTCAAGGTCATGTCAGGTCACGGAGTTATGACGTCATAAAGGGAACAACCTCCGGCCAGATTTACGCTAAATTGGAGATTGCTTTACATTGGTATAAATGCCGACTGACCTGACACACTGATGGATTGTTTTAGAATCATAACTGGCTGATTTGACATTGGCGCAATGTCCGTTGACCTTTTCAAGGTTACTTAAGGTCAAGGTCAGGTCAGTGACCTCGGTTGACCTGTAATAACTTCTTGCACTTGTATGCCTTTTCGGGATATTTTGATGCCCTGAATTCGAATTTGCTATCCATTTCAGGCATCGTCGGTTGTTTCTTGTAGTTCATTTTGGGTCAGGGTCAGGTCAGTGAGGTCACACGCCTGACGTGACCCAATGCACAAATGACCTTGCAAACTTCCGATGCTCCCAACGCATCATTTTTAGAGTTATGACATCGAAATACACACCAAACGATAGAGAATTGATCAAGGATCACGATAGTGAAGGTTTCAAGTCGATATCTCTTACCGTTTTGCCGCAATCGGCGCGGAAATCTGAAAAAGTTAGATTTTTCCGAAAATTTGACCTTTGACCGGTCATAAGTAGGTCAAGTGTTGACCTAGGACCAAAAATATACCACCAATCGCGAGATCTCGTTGAGAGCAATCCGTTGGTCTTTTCCGCTCAGCTCTACGACGCTCCGTTTTCAAACGCCAGGGGGGGTCGCACCAACCCCCCCCCCCCCCCTGCATGGGCGAAGGTGGCAAAACACCGTTTACGGGCGAGGGTTAAGTTGCCTTTTATTTCAACTGCGTTTTATTTCCAAGGGCGTTCGCATATGAAAGAGATTGACAAAACTTTAAACCTATGCATATTGGCCACTTTGCCCCATACCCTGGGGCAAAGCGGCCACCGGGGTCTTCTCCAGTCCCGATATGAGAAACAAAATAGTTGCCTCGTGTACGACTAGGGTATTTGATGGTGACAAAGTTAAGCGAGGATGGATGTTTGCTTTATCATCTTCCACCTGTAGGTAAACAATGAAAGGATTTTCATGAAAATTAACATTTAATTGCATTATTTGGTAACTCATGCAACTGAAAAGTGGCCAAGATGAATGCATGACGACACATTTGAATATAAATAATGGTTTTTATCCAGATGGAAGCAACTTATGGCCAATTGGGGGGTGGCCACTTTGCCCCGCGCATACCGTCCGAGACAAAAAATATTCCAGCTTAGCTATTAGTGGGGTAAAAAGCATTAAAATTGGTTCAATACATGTACGATAACCATGCAATGCATTGACAAGAACGCTTATAAAAATTCCAAACGGTTATGGAAAAACATAACATTTAAAAATTGTAAACATAGTTGGTAACCTGGAAAGAAATGCTTTTCCGTGTTTCACAGAACAATGGTGATGGGCCTGAAACCCCGGTCTGGCTCATTCGGACGACCGTGAAGAGAAGTATAATTGGAAACCATAAATTGGAACTGACGCCAGCTATATAGGGCTAAAACGATGGGTGCCCGCTTTGCCCCACTCTCCCCTACACTACGCTCACAGAATAGTCCCGGGGACCGTACTGACTTACTGTGGCCGATCCAAGCTGGAATGGCACCAAACGACGTTTGCGAAGAGACACGGTGAAGCTGCGGTCAAAAGTGAATGTTGCTATCTGGCATTTGCAAACCATCCGAACAAATATCCGACATCCGGCAAACCATTCGGCGTCGCTGGACGCCGCTAATAATTCCCACACCACTGAACGACATGCGGCCTAAAGCTATACTTGTGTCTTATTGCCCACTTTAACTGATGAATAAACTGCGTGAGGCGCACACAGTCGTTTCTCTATTTGTCGGTCGTCACGCGCGTTTGTCGTGCCCTGGTGGGCCGATCCTGGGCTGTCGTGTGCGGAGCAGCAGCAGCAGCTCGGTGAGTACCAGTGACGGCCGGCGGCAGTCGGTCGGCTGACCGGGCGGCAGGCGGTACCTGCGGACCGGGCGGCAGTCGGCTGACCAGCGGGCAGTCGGCATCGGCAGCTCCAGAGCCGACCGTCCCCTCACCGCCGGCCCGCCGATGGTGGTGTAAGTGCGCGGCGCCGGGTGGGAGCACGGAAGGCGCAGCTCCTGACTGGGATACCTACCCCAGGGAACCCGTGCCGCTCACTGACCAAATGTCTGGATCTTAAGCCTTTACTGACGTTTTCGGACTTCTGGATCCTGCTTGGTAAAGACGGTAGTTTTGTAAGCCGTAATTCTCATAGTTCAAATCGGTACGGTGGTGTGCATTATTTGGTCATCAATTGACGTACCACCGTCTGGCTACACCGGCTCTGTCAACTGCTAATCGTAAAACAGAAAAAATGTCATCACTTATGACGTGTTTTGGACTATTTGTAATTTGAGGTTCATTAATCGTGGGCTTAGGTCAAATGTTAATACCTCGTTTTTTTTGTAATTTTGTTCACTGTTACATAGAATGGTATTAGTTGAAATGCCTGGCAAATGCTGTTACTTGCGGTCATCGGCATGCACGGACTTCTACACCATTTTCGAACCAAGTTAAGACAAATGAAGCCCAATTTAAAACTGTTGATTTCTGAATTAAAACAATCGAAAAGTGGGTTAAAACACGTGACATTCAGCTTAAAACAACTGACACGCGAAATCGCGTGTTGGTCGTTTTAAGCTGAATGTCACGTGTTTTAACACACTTTTCGATTGTTTTAATTCAAAAATCAACAGTTTTAAATTAGGCGTCATTTGTCTTAACTTGGTTCGAAAATGGTGTAGAAGCAGGGGAAAATATCACGTGATAGCCGCCAACGTTGGCAGCGAGGGTCATGTCGGGTTGGGGCTGACGGTTGCCCCGTTCTTTCAGTAACTATCATCAATGAATCTGGGGGTTTGTTTATTCAAGCTGTGGTCACCGGTTCATCCAAGCTATCCGCTTATGCTGTATGTTTATTGGTTCCGAGGCACAGCGTGCGTCAGGCACTCGATACCAGTCATCTATGGGCATTGGGCAGGAGCACGAACTAGTAGCGGTGCATTGCGGCACAGCGTGCGTCAGGCGCTCAATAGCAGAGTCATCTATGGGCAGGAACACGAACTAGTAGCGGTGCGTTGCGGCACAGCGTGCGTCAGGCGCTCAATGCCAGAGTCATCTATGGGCAGGAGCACGAACTAGTAGCGGTGCATTGCGGCACAGCGTGCGTCAGGCGCTCAATGCCAGAGTCATCTATGGGCAGGAGCACGAACTAGTAGCAGTGCATTGCGGCACAGCGTGCGTCAGGCGCTCAATGCCAGAGTCATCTATGGGCAGGAGCACGAACTAGTAGCGGTGCATTGCGGCACAGCGTGCGTCAGGCGCTCAATGCCAGAGTCATCTATGGGCAGGAGCACGAACTAATGGTGGTGCATTGCGGCACAGCGTGCGTGAGGCGCCTGCAACCAGAGCCATCTATGGACAGGAGTGCGTAGTAATTAATGTACTGCGGCACAGCGTACCTCAGCCGCCTGCTACCAGAGCCGTTTATGGACAGGACAAATCCACGACAAATCGACAAATAAAAAATTTAATTTGCACCCTCATATTTTATTTTTCGTTGAAAACTGGTGTAAGGGGTTGTGATGGGCGGGGAAGCCAGCTGTGGCAAGGATTTTTTTCTTCGAGCAACGGTTTCCGAGATATAGCCTCTGGCAATTCCAGCAGGTCGCGCTGCAGCCCTATGTTTGGCGGCCTATAACTCAGAAACTATTGGTTTTCTACGATAAAACTTGATATGGTTCAACTCACAATCAGCCAACAAACATTTTGGCTATCTCGGATTTTCAATTTTTGAAAATTTTGATCACGTGACCTTTCGACCTATTTTTCGAGGAGTGACCTTGATATTTTCCCCACTGAAAGTTGCAATTTTGTCTGATGACGATTAAAGCCTTATCAATTGTCATTCATATGCGAAAATAAAAAAGTGGATATCGCCCTGCGTTGACCTCAGGTCAGGTCACTTTTATGACCTGTCCATTATTACGAGCGGGAGCGACAGCGAGATCTCGAGAATAAAGCAAGATAGCGACAAGCGGTAAACGGTGCAGGGTACAAATGGATAAGGTCTATAATTTTTACTGAGGTCATTTTCAGGTCAGGTCAAAGATGACGTCACAGGAGCAAAAAGGAAGTCAAAATTGCGGCACTACATATATATATATATAAAGTTTTTCTCGAATAACTTTCAAGGTATCCCAGCTAGGAACAAAGTAATAGCACCATCGTGATCCTCTCGCCGATCCGCATCGAAATGTATGTATGTTGACCTCGAAAGGTCGAAAGGTCAAAAGTTGACCTTAGGTCACGTGACGAGCGGGAGCGACAGCGAGATCTCGAGAATAAAGCAAGATATCGACAAGCGGTAAACGGTGCAGGGTACACACGGATAAGGTCTATAATTTTTATTCAGGTCATTTTCAGGTCAGGTCAAAGATGACGTCACAGGAGCGAAAAGGAAGTCAAAATTGCGGCATTACATATATGAAGTTTTTCTCGAATAACTTTCAAGGTATCCCAGCT